TAAATAAAATACAGAATCATTACAAGTGAATGCAGTTATAATAAAGCATGTTTCCAGGATGAGGACAAAAAACAATCAACACAAATATACAGTTTAATAGAAACTGAAGCTAATCCGGCACAGTTTGCTGTAATAACCTTTACTAATTCCTCATTTCCTGTATCATGAGCAGTGAGTCTATAATGTGATAAGGAACCGGTCTGAATATTTTTCTTAATAAAAGCAAAACAGGCAGCTGGACCGGTACCGTTACTATCAAATCCCCTGAGAGCAAACATTCCACATAGCAGAATAGTATTTCATACAAATGTCTGACATTTAACACACGAACCAAACAAAACACACAGTGATTCGATGTATTTACACCGATCTCAGCGCCACGCCGCTGTGTGGGAACAAGCAGTGGAATCGACCGTAAACGAAACAACAAGAGGTCTGAAACAGCACGACGGGCTTTCGTGTCCCGAGCTCACATGCTGTTGTGGTCATGTGACGTGTGAATGCTGATTAAGCGCAGGTGTCAGTTCTGGCGTAGTAAACACAAAGCAGCCTGCAACGCTGCGGTCAGGGATGTCTCTGTTAATTGAAGCACCTGCTGTTTACGGAAAAAAGGCGCAGCGCCGTCAAGCTGTACGTCTGCTCAAAGCCACTGAGCACGATCTTATCGGAGGTAAGCCTTAACACGGTGATCAGCAAAGGTCTGACAAACAACTGTTACCAGCCAAACAAGCAGCCTTTCGTAAGGGAAGTTCAACTGAGTACATCCCTGCACATTTCAGCAGGATTACAGCAAATGTAGAAAGACTGCTCTCAGTAAGTCTCCCTCACAAGCGTTTTCCACCGGCACTGAGTTACCCTCGCACTCTCTTAACCTAGATTCTAGTTGATTTTCTCAGTTAGGGCAGGTGAACAAAGTGCTATTCTTTCTGATTTCCGGATCCAGGGCTACAGCCAATAGAGCAACGTCCAGGACTAAGATGGGAAAATAAGCATTCTGGGGTTCACTGACACAGAATGGGACAAGTACGTCCCTCCCACGTTCCTCTTTCCGCTCAGTTACGTAACTCACCGTTACCATGGCAGTGGCTGCCCCCGGGTCGTGTTTGGAGCAACAAGGGCCAATCTTCCAGGCTTCTACATCCCCACAATCACAGAACCCCCCTCCTGATGACGCATGCATCTGGAAAAAAAATGCACATACTGTATGTCACTGAAGGCGAGTCATGGATACACACAACAGCAATTAAATCAGACATCTACTGAAGCTGTGGGAAAGCATTAACACACAACCCCGGGGTCCCAACATGAAGGGCTAAATATAAACTCCTGTAATGATTTAGAAATAAACTAAAGCTAATTGTGCACAGAAGTGAATCAAAGGGACGGAATGGGATGTAAGCCATGTAAAGATCTCAGAGTAGAAAACTAAGCATGAGTTATTTTCTTTCATTCCCATTTACCAGGGGAAGGGGGGGTGTTGGAATTCATTAAAAATGTAAACATTTACACTGACACCAACCTTGTAACGATGACTTTTGTGCACGCTGTCTTGGAAGCAGTTCATGCACAGGACACAAGTGGGATCTATTGCACAATCCCTGCAAAAAAAAAAGGTTGAAGAGGGATTTATTTTACTTGATTGAGCAAATGTCAACAAACGTCTAAGGCGGAAGTCATGCCGTTTTAAGTACAAACTGAACTGCATGCTGAGCTCATCTGCGTTACCCAATGTTATTTACTTCAGCGTAATATGCAGTGACAACAAGAAACACACATTTGTCTCATTATATAATCACACTACCTGATTAGCCTTTATATGTTAATGTCACTAAAAACCATAATTTTATTTAAGGCAGTGTTTCTCAAGGCTTATGGAAGGATTATAGGTGCTGCAGGTGAAGAGGGTGCGTGAGAATTTTTCAGCTGTCTTCTTGAGCTCATCATCTGTGACAGCGTTCTTCTCACTGCTTCTCATGTCTCCTGCAGGTTAAACTGGGCCAGTCAACCACTTTGTTAATGTTGAAAAACTCACTATAAACTGACCAAAACCACTCTCTATCCTGCACAAATGAAGGCTATAAATAGGACTTGTAAACTCTGCATACATAAACAATATCTGAACTTGTAATTGTCTTGTACCCCCACTATATGACCTCCACGTTTACTCAGGTCAGAAAAAGTTCTTTCTCTTCAGAGTGGCAGAGACCTCTCAGCAGTTTTTCTGTCCATTTAGCTTAGGCATTGCATGAAATCATTTAGGAGTTGCACTTAAGTCCTATAATGGCAGCAAACCCCTGATTAAGGTCTTTTATAAAACGGAAACCCCTTAAATGCACTCCTTGAGACATGAATCATTCTATCTATCTATCCATCCATCCATCCATCCATCCATCCATCCATCCATCCATCTCGTCAGCAAATACAGCACCCCTCATGTTCACATACAGCTTGTTTCCAGAAGGAAAAGCAGGACAAATTATTGCAAAAAACTAATGAATGACCAGATGAACACATCTATGTGAATAAAATAGTATTTCATGTGATTCAGGTCCACTCACAGACTGCACCACACTGAAACCTGAGAGTCGACACATTAACTATTCATCTTCAACACTTAGCCTAAATACTGTGCTGTTGTAGTGTAATTAGATCACTGTAGAACTAAAACCTATTGAGGCCATACTTTCCTCATTTCAAGAACTTGATGATGTCAAATAGCTTCAATGGTGTATTCCTGTCTTTGAGCTCTGGGGGCTGTAAGCTCACATTACACTGGGTCTACCTTCCGTACATGTTTTTGAAGCCTAAATTTTATAGCAACCAATATATTCCTTTTTGGAGATCTTGACATTATCTAGCAATTACGAACCAGTAAGGACAACACAAATGCAGCGCTGTACCACAGCCACTAAGCACATTAGAGTAATAACTGAGTTATTAAGGAAGATCAGAGGGTATATTCAGACCTGCAGGAGTAGACAGTCTCTCCTTCTTTGAACACACGTCCACAGAGCTGGGAGGAGGCGCTGCCCTGTTTGAGCTTCTCCAGACCCTCCTGAGGATCCTCTCCAAACAGGAAACACTCCAGCGGGTGCAGCAGGCGGCTCTGCATGAGCTCCTCTTCTTCCTGAGGGCTGGACTCCTTCTTCAGGCAGAAGATCTGCGGCACCTGCTCCTTCAGGTAGCGGAGCAGCTCCGCTCTGCTGTCTGCAGCCTCCTGCCATTCCTGCAGGACAGAGGAGAGCATAACCTGTTTGACATGTCTTGTCTATGCCTGCTGAAACTGAATTAGCCACAATTCTCTAAATGATGAGCCGAAATACATTTATTTTAGCTGTGCATGTTTACTACTCAATACAGATTTTAAATCTGGGTTTATGACATAAATGTCTAAGTTTTTATTGCTAGTTTGTGTTGACAGCTGATGTGAGCTCAAAGTACAGCTTTCACATTGTTTTGCTTTTCGATACCTGCTGTGTGGATACATGCATGGCAACAAGCCTGTCATCAAACAGCTTAAGTAATGATTTATCTGAATGATTCATAGCTATCTAGAAAGTTAAGGCAGCAGCAAGGCGTTAGTCACGTAACTTCCTGCTGATGTTCGCTGGATTACTGAAGCTCTTCTACTTTGACACTGCACCACTTGCTCTGCATAATTTTGGTATTTGCACTGGTCATACAGCTACACAATAAGAAGCACTAATATTGTTACCATCTATGCATTACACTACGTAGTGTACAGCACATCGCAAAAGTATGTCACAATAAAAATGCCAAATCAATGACAGATACGTGATATTCAGTAGATCAGAGAAAGTAGGAAGTGTGAGTCGTACAAGGATACAGTAGAACCAGTAAACACAGTTCTCAAAGGTGTGCGTTAATTTAAATTATATATGCTAATAATAATAACAATGCTGATGTGTTAATAACTATCATTATATTATGTGTATAACGTTTATCAGCATTTATGCCTGCATTAGCTCAAACTGCACATTGTTTTTGTTTCATGGTGCTGTTTTGCTACCTTTCCAGCAGCCACTTCCTGTTTACTTGTTGTTTACGTTCTGATTATTTGTCAGTTTTCTCTAATTACGAGCCATATACTTGAAAACAACTAACAACTATTATAATTGTCAGAGAGAAAAATCCAGAAAAGTAGTGGCTAAAAATGACCCTGAAGATCCTACTGGTTCCTGAACACATCACACTCGTATTATTTACTAATGTTAAAGCTCTCTTGTGTATTCTGACATGAGCTGACACACAAAGTGCTGAATTCAAACCTTCAGACTGTAAATATCACGTAATAAAAATCCCCCATGGCGTCAAGGAGCGAAGTCGGTTTTACTTTCACTCTGATCAACAACGACAATAGCGTGTGACAGACATAACAACAACAGTTTAAGGTCCGAAACAAGTTGGCATCGTGGGTTTATAAACTCAGGGCAATTCATGTTGAAGCGCTGCGGACAAAAGCGACCACCAAAATATCACAGGATGGAGCACACTACGGAAAACACGTCCACGTCTCCTTCGACTGTGATGTCTACTTAAACAACTCCTGACTCCACAGATATTGACATAGCGTACACTGGTGGTAAACAACAAATAAACCGTAACCTACTGGAGAGACATTTTAACCATTTGACGCTAGTTGGGTAGCTAGCACATAGCCAGCTATGACTGTTAGCTTGGTAACTGTGATATCCTTCCACTGCACCTCCAAACCCTATTATTCAGATTAGTTAACATATCATACTACGGTGTTTTGTCCCTGAGTCTCAGTAGGCACTGTCAGCTATATTAGCTATCTGGAAATCGTACCTTGCTGAGCTCCAGTCCGTCTAGGGATTTCTCACTCTCCGCCATGTTCCATTTGCCGTAAAGGAGGAGGTGTCGCTAGGAGACTGTCCTCCTTGATGTGAACGGAGATGGTGGAGCCGTCAGATGGCGCTGCTACAGACGGGCCCCGCTCCGTGTGGTGATGAATGCAGCGGGGCTAGAGGTCAGAGTTGAATGTTTGACAGAAAGCTGAATATGGATTCCATATTTCACGAGAAAGTAAGTTTAAACAATCAGCCGAAAAATATTAAGCAGCCAGCAACCGGTCGTGTTCATTCGGGAAGCCTCGGGACTTATGGCGGCGGTTTGTTTAGCGGCGTTATGTAGCCGATGCTAAGAGATTTGTTGTGGTGTTTGGCAGTATTGTTGTCCAGACAGCTAAAATGCTAATTCACTTGCTAGTCAGAGATGGTGAAAAGTTTCTTTACAGCTAGGAGAAACGACGCAGGGAGCTTTTAAAGGACCGCAGTCGTGTTGTGTTTGTCATACTGGTGAACGGGTTAGCTTAGCATAGCGCTCTGTTGTTATAGAGGAATAATAAGAGTAGTTGTGTTTGTTGTTTACGTAATCCTGAGAGCTTCAGCAGAAGGCAACTGGACTTATCTTTGAGCTTTGTGAAGACGTTTAACGTCTTATCAAGGGGCGTCTTAGGTTCTAACTGACTGGTGGGGAGTTCTAGATATGTATTATCATTAGCAAACCCATGGCTAATGGCACATTACTAACCCAGGACTCACATGCCACATGTCTGGTGTGAATGGCTGTGAAACTGCCTGGTCACTCAACATGTTAATGGCGAAACTGTCTGGGGCAAGATCTCCAAACAGCGTTATCAGTAGTTGATGTTATAGCCCCATTCCCCTGTTCAGAGATGGCTATTACAGGCTAAGTTTGGGGAGGATATTATATATCTGAGGCTCTCCAGAAATCAGTTAGAACTAAACTGAAGAAGCTCCTGGATGAGACATCTTCAAGAACCAACAATAGAGGCTCTCTTGATTACCAACACCTGGATGACTGAGAATCTACACAGACACATTGTGTACATAGTTTAGTGTAGCTCTAACTACCAGTGCCACACGGTTATTATGATGACAGACCAAATCCTACAAAGTTGTAGTAATTTAATATCCAAGAACCTGCTATTAAATAGTACTGTAATGTCAGAAAGCTAATTTGTTGATGGTTTTAACAATCTGCAGCAAGAGGGCTCCCTCTGCGCCCAGCACTGCCTCAACAACCTTCTGCAGGGTGAGTATTTTACTCCCGTAGATCTGTCCTCTATTGCTCATCAGCTCGATGAAGAGGAGAGGATGAGGATGGCGGAGGGAGGGATGGCCAGTGAGGAGTACAGGACCTTTCTACAGGTGAGTAGAGACACAAGGCCAATGTTGGTGCAGCAGCCCATTTGTAGATTTTATTAGCTAACTGTTCCTACATTTTTATTCTTGTAACGTGTTTATAGCAACCCTCGGGGAACATGGATGACAGTGGCTTCTTTTCAATACAAGTACGTCTACAAATGTCACTTTTTGCTGTTACTAAATAACACGTTAATAACCATTATAAGTATATAATATTAATTCATTCTTCTGTTTTGGGATTTTTCCAGGTAATTAGTAATGCACTGCGAGTGTGGGGCTTGGAACTGATCCTCTTCAACAGTCGGGAGTACCAGAGCCTGATGATAAATCCAATGTAAAGTCTCCTTGTCCAGTCTTTATTGTGTAATGTTCCCTTTTTATTCACATTTACGGTTTAAGTTGATGGTGACTTTCCTGTTTCAGAAATGAGAAAGCCTTCATTTGCAACTACAAGGAGCACTGGTTTACTATACGCAAGCTTGGACAACAGGTATGAGGTGATTGTTTTCATAAACTATTTCAATGCAGCTTGATTTACTAAATACACTCTGTTTTCTTTGTAGTGGTTTAACCTGAATTCACTGCTGACTGGACCAGAATTGATATCAGACACCTATCTAGCCCTTTTCCTTGCGCAGTTACAACAAGAAGGTATTGTAAACGTGACTGTTATTCACAGCATTCCTTTGTGTTACACAACAGAAAGTATAATACAAGTTGTGTTTGTGCAGGCTATTCCATATTTGTGATCCGAGGTAACCTCCCAGAATGTGAAGCAGAACAGATTCTTGGGATTATGAGGGTGCAGCAGCAACAGCGGCCCAGGCTCATCGGAGAGGACGAGGCTCAGACAAGTGCAGGGTATGTATATGTGCCCTCTGTGCAAATTACTCATACTGTGGCATCTTACTTTATGTTCTCTATTGCTAAAAATAAACTGTTTACTAACTTGTGGCAACTTAAAAATCTGTTTTCTGTGAGCAGCAGGTCAGCAGCTCTGGGCCAACCGGAGGTGGGCTTTGGTGTGGAGGACGAGGTCGTGGATGAAGATGAAGAACTGAAGAGAGCTCTGGCACTCAGCAGACAGGACATAGACGTGGAAGATGAAGAAGCTGATCTTCGCAGGGCCATACAGCTCAGCATGCAAGGTAGATGATGTGTTTATTTGTCGTTGAAATTACAGTTTATAAAAACACGATTCTACAAAATCAGCAAAAGAACTGATATATTTACTGTCATTTTTGCCATTTTGTATTTAGTAAATTTAGTAAAGTAAATACTAAAATGTGGCTTTTTGTTATTTTCTTATATTACAGGAGCAGTGATGAGCAACAAGTCTTCTGAGTATGAAGTGCGAAATTTAAAATCAGGGAGCCAGGCAGCAGGGAGCGCTGCAGGAGGTCAAAGAGTCGGTCAGGCTGAGACGCTTACGGCTGAGGAACTGAGGAAGAGAAGACAAGCCTACTTTGATCGGTAGGTTCAGACATTTCCAAAGTAGTTTGATAGTCTGGCAGTAAGCTGCGTATATTACATTCCACCCTTTAAGAACAGAAAGCAAATGCATGGGTTTTAATACAGATCCTCTATGTTGACCGTTTAGGCAGCAGCAACATGCTCAGCCAAACATTCCTCAACAACCAGGCACACAATCAACAGGCGGCTCAGGTGAGCAAATCATCTAACGAGTTTTATTTAATAGCCTCTCCAAGAATGTCAGGAAATTTAATAACCCAAAACCAACTTCTTTCCCCAGGATCCGTAAACACTGGCGCTGAGGAGGACCAACAACAAAAGCCCAGCCAGTGATGCTGTGGAAGGTTTGCCTATGCTGTTTACCAGCTGCCTGGATTGGCAACCCCACACAGGGGTAGCTTTGCTCCTTCCTCTAACCTTTTGCACATGCGAACATAAGGACAGTCAGACGGCTGACACGTTTCCCCTGTTTAGTTCGCTGACAGGCTATAGAGAAGAGAACGACAAAGAGAAGGCAGCGCTTAGTCTGATCTGACTCGGTGAGGCACTGAGGCTGGGAAAAGGGTGACCACAGGACTCATGATGCAGTTAATCCAAGTTTGCAATTGCCTTTTTACCATGGCGCCTTCTATTTCTATTGTATACTGTTTTTTATTCTCGTTTTTTTGCTGGAAGACGTGAAAGAAATAACATACAAAAGGATGTGTGTTTGTTTGGGCGTGAAAACATGCTGAGACGGGCGTTCTGTGAAAGCCATATGAGACCAATGTTTAGACCACATTTTAAAGCTTTATAGATAAATGACATAGCCTCCTACCTTTGTACTGAATTTGGGTTTGTAGAACATTAAGTGACAAAAGCACCGACCCCACCAGAGCACTCTGTTGTGCTTTTGAAAAAATTTTCTGTTGCCATATACTGAAGCATCTTTCAGCCAGCAGCACGAACACGTAGGTTATTTATTCCCGACATCGTCAATCACTTTACTTGAACGTCTGCGAGTGATCTCCCAGTTATTTAGACAGCAGCATATTTTTGATGTTGTGGCTTTGTAATTACCTTTAAGTGCACAAGTAGGCATAATGAACTTTCTGATTAGACCGCTGACAAACACAACTTAAGGATGCTTTTTGGACGAACTGTGAGGTAAGAACAACAAAAGAAAGTGTATAAAGCTGTTTGCTCAATGTACGCTACTTGTCGCTGGTGGATATTGTTTTCATATCTTGTCCAAGTTTGGCATGTAACGGGGAACAAAGAAGCAACTTGTAAACACCTTGAAACTGCAGCTGATGGATATAAAAGCATCATTCATTCATTCTTTCTGCACAGTACGATCACTGAAAACCAAAAAAAAGTCTGACGTGTCCGTGCAGCCTTTCTGGTATCGACTTCATCTGTTGTTGTTTCTCTTGATCAGTATTTGTCATGAACCACGTAGGGACGGTATTATAAAGAGAAGATTAATAAATGGTGACTCCCATGTAGACATCTCTTCACAAGCAGCTGTTACTTACTCTCGCATGTTACAGCACCTGGAATATTTGTTTATTTACACCGATTGTGCTCCGATTATGCTCAGAGTAATGTTGCACACGTTAGGAGATAAACTGATTTGCATTGAGGGTTAAAGACGCGCAGGTCGACTGCTGACTGATTTAAATGATTATTTACATTCTGAATTTGTATTTGATTGAACATCCAAAGAGAAAAAGAAATTGGTCACCGAACTGTATTGCATTTACCTTTGACTTCTCTCACACCAGGTTCTGTTAAGTCCTTAAAACCAGACTTTCTTTTTTTTTTTTTTAGGTGACTAGACCACATTACATCACAGCACTAACACACTTAGCATTTGTTTACAGTTATTATTCTGTTTTCTGGACCCAGTGACCATTCAGCGTAGATAATATCTTGTTGCCACCACAAGAAAAGTGTCAGAGGCGATGCAAAGTTTCACTTATTGTGCTGGATGACTTTCAGGAATTTATTGTTTTGTGTCTTTTTTGGATCTGCTAGTCTTTTTCGATTTAAAACGCACTTGTGAAAGAGTGTAAAGTGTCGGTAGTTGGGTTTTTATCATTGCATTATTTTCATCCACTGCATTCTTATGAGTACAAATTCATCTTTTTTTTTTTTTGTTATATTTCTTGTTAGCGCAGCACATTCTTTTCATTTAATGTACTGGTTCATGTTCCAGGATTAAAGTGACATTCACTCCTCTGAACGCTTCTCTCGTCTTTGTTTATTTACTGATGAGTCTTGGGACATCGCCTCTGGAAAAGGAGGCCCTAAATGTTCTGAAAACAGTGGTGACTCTATTTGTGTGTTGTGGTTAATGTGTAACGCTCAGAGCACACTTGCACTTTGTTTCCCCAAATAATAGATGGAGTTGTCAGACACAATTCTTGCCCGCGCTGAGAGGTACGTATGACAGTTAAACCTGGAGAAGAATATCTCACTGAGAGTTTATTGAAATGTTTTTGGTTTTGACTTTAATGGAGAAACATTATTCAAGAAACGTAATCTCGTATTGTTACAGATGAATTAGTTATTCTGTTATTGTTGTGCTTTTTTTAACATCTGCACGTTTCAGGTTTGTGAGCTCCAACTTTTCCAGACTCAAACGACCGCGAATACAGAAAATGAAGATGGCCTTTATTTTCATCCTGACCTACTTGTGCTTCTTTGCTCCGGTCCACCAAGCGCAACCTCCGAGCGCCACCATCTCAGATCTCTCGCTCAAAAATATGGACTTTGCCATGAACCTTTACAGAAGAATATCCACTTACCACGACAAGAACATCTTCTTCTCGCCTCTGAGCATCTCGACCAGTTTCGCTGCACTCTTGATGGCTTCCGATGGTGTCACGCGCGAGGAAATCCTGAAGGGGCTCAACCTGGAGCAGCTGGAGAAGGAAGACCAGCCAGAACTTATCCCAGAACTCTTTCAGCTCCTTCATGAGAACATCACACAGAATGGCTCGCTGCAGCTGGACCAAGGCATGGCCCTCTTCATGCGGCAGCAGTTTGGGATACAGAAGACATTTAAAGACCAAATGAAGACCTTTTTTAATGCCGACATCACAACTGTAGACTTTGCAGACACGGAGAGAAGCATCAGTTTGATTAATGACTACATCAAGCAAAAGACTCAGGGTAAAGTTTCAGAGATGCTTTCTGGCTTGAACGAACTGACCCAGCTCCTGTTGGTCAGCACAATCTTCTTCCAGGGTAAGTTGAATCACTCCTGTATGTGTGCACCTTTCACCAGCAGTGTTCACAACTAAACTAAGAGGATTGTTTCATCCGCAGGAGCCTGGGAGATGCCTTTTAACCCGAATTTTACCGAAAACGCCGCCTTCTACATTGACAACTACAACATTGTGCAAGTGCCGATGATGTTTAAGGAAGACAAGTTCTACACGACGGAAGACGTTCGCCTCGGTGCCAGAGTGCTGAACCTGCCGTACCGGGAAGGTGTTTCCATGCTCATCCTGCTACCCAACAAAGACAAGGACTACACTGAAATCGAGGAGGAGATCACTGCTCAGAAGTTCCAGAACTGGATTAAAAAGCTGCAAAAAACGTAAGTGCATAGAGATTCCTTGCTCAGAAGTGTCATGTGTGTCTTGTTACAGATTTTTCATTTTGCTTTTTTATTGTCCATGTGCTTTTGCTGATGTTGCATTTTCTGCAGAGAGGTGCTGTGAAAGGATTCTAGTCACTAAACTGCAAATAATCACAAGACCCATTGTACATAAACTAAATACCTGCAGTGGCACACATGCAATCTGTTCAGCGTGTTGAATCACGTCTTGTTCGTAGCAAACTGGAAGTCAACATGCCCAAATTCAAGATGGAGCGGTCGTATTCCCTGCACACGATTCTACCAGACATGGGCATTACCAGCATCTTCAGCGAATCCGCTAATTTGACGAGGCTCAGTAAGGACGGATTCTTCAAAGTGTCAGAGGTCGGTTTTCAATTTCACCCCCTTTTGCAGCAACATTCTCCAAAGTGTACAGATGAGGGCTTTCATATCTGCTGTAAAATCACAGGTGCTGCACAAGGCTGTGATTGAGGTGGACGAGACGGGGACGACAGCAGCAGCTGCTACAACAATCGGCATCATCCCGTACTCCCTGCCGAGGACCTTCACTGTCAACAGGCCATTCTTCTTCTTCATATACCATGAAGACACAAGCAGCCTGCTGTTCATGGGCAGGGTGATTGACCCCACCAAAAACTAACCGCTGTACTGTTTGAACTCTTGCACGTGATTTCTGTTTACGCAGGCTTTGGCACGGCTGATTTGGTGTATTTTTTTTTAAAGCCTTCGATTGGTTTGTAATGCTTGTTTTGGCCTCTGCTGTAAAAACCAAACTATAAGTGATGAATATTAATAAAGACTTAATTAATCTTAATAATTGTACCTCTTGAATACATAATGAGGAGTGTAAAACACACTAAAGGAGAACAGTGTTGGCTTTGTAAATGAGACAACCACAGTATTTCCCAGATATACATACATATACATAATAAATTAGTGAATAAATTACTGTTACATCTGTCAACTGAATACATCAGCACCACAACTCCCAGTCGGCACCTTTCATAGATCTTATAAGTTGTAATGAATGAAAGTAATAATGGTTCGCAAATCGTTTACTCTTTCCCTAATAGATGAGCTACAGACAATAGCTTCTGGTTTGTCAGGTTGTTTAAACTCTGTGTGGTGTTTATCCCCCTCTGATGCTTCTTTTTAGCTCCATTTTATCTGATAGAGTCTTCAAATGGATTGCTTCACCTCTAACCTTCTGAAAAAGACACCAAATCATTCTTTTATTGTTAATCAGCAGGACTGTTAATTGTAAAATCCTTTATGAATTACTTATTTACAGTCACATGAGGATGACTTAAAACTTTTGCTTTTGGCTTATTGGAAAGTAGTAATGACATGAAAACGTATTCATATGCCAGTTTTAAAAACATAAAGTGCATTTACACACAAAGCAAAAGCAAGATGAACAGAAGAAAACATCACAACAATAAAGATAAAGTTAAAACAAAAAGACAGCAGATAGAAAAATGCAACATGTCAAAATTAATTAAAGCAATAAAAACCTTCAGGTCAAGTCAAGTCTCCATCATTGCTCATGCATTGCTCAATTACAAGAACCAAAAAAGAGCCAAAGTGCTTTTCATTTAAGAAAAAAAACATTGATGTTACAAATTTACCAAACTAATTTAAATATAAGATCCTAGAATAATAAATAAAGTACAAATTTACCTTACAAATTATTATGGGCAAGACCCTACACTATAGTAATTATGTAGATTTGCATGATAAATGTAAATAACAGGATTAAAACCCTCCCATAATATATAAAACACAAATTTACCTGACTAAATTAATTATTAAGGATAAGATCTCACAATCATACATACAAATATAATACCCATTTCTACATATTATAATAAATTTAAACATATTAAAGCAATTCAGTGTTTTGCAAATGACTGACAACACAGGACGTTTAAACAAAATATATATTCATAGTACTGATGATCAATAACAATCTTTAGTCAGTATTAATAAATAATTGTTGTTGTTATTATTATATCAATGTATTTCAAAAATTGATTTAAAAACAGAATTATGAGTAAATACCGAGAAAAGTTTTTAAAATATCAGTGAAATTAAAACTGATTTGTTCTGTTGTCGATGTTCGACAAAATAAAGTTTTTCAAACCACGTGACCAAAGTGTCATGGCGGCGCCCTCGTGTCATGCGTGGTTGTTATCAAATGTAATCATATTTTAGCGCTTCAGGGAGCCACATTAAGTCAAGGTAAGACGTTTGTTTTTATTGTTTCTACCACTGTGAATGATCCACGGAGCTGACCGGCTCTAAGGTTTTATCAGAGACTTTTATTAATCAGAACAAAACTTTGAGGAGTCGGATGCACACGCTCCGTTCACCACTCAGCTACACGACGCTCTCCCAACTCTGTTCATTTACTTTGTAGGAAAAATGAAGGTAAAGAAGATAAACCCGCGGAACAAGCGTCTGTCCTCGGGGCCGAAGAAACCAGCCAAACGGAGCATCAACGTGAAAGGCAAATGGAAAGCTGTTGAGCTCGATCCCAGCGTCTTCGCCGAGGAGGGCTTAGAGGGTCTGGTGTGTTTTGAAGAGCTGACGGATTACCGTCTGGTAGACAGTGACAAGGCTGCGGCCAGAGCGGCAAAAGAATTAAAAAAGGAAAAGAAAAAAGCAAAGAAGAGGAAAGTAAGCGAGGGCGAGGAGGCTGGAGAGAGCCAAGAGGGAGAGAACAGCAGTGAACCAGCCAAGAAGAAAGCCAAGAAGAAGAAGAAGAAGCAGAAAAATAAGGCAGCGAAGGAACCAGTCCCATCAGATAATGCTTCTACAGAGGATGTGGCACAAAATGATGAGGCTCCCGCTGAAGAGGGAGGACAGGATGAAGACAATGCAAAAGATTCAGCCGCTGTCTCTGAACATAAAGCACAATCAAAGAAGAACAACAAAAAGAAGAAGAGAAAGAAATCCAAACAGCAGCGAGATCAGGATGCTGTCCCAGAGGAACAGCCAAGCCAGGAGTCTCCATCAGATCCTCAGCCGCTGGAGGAAGACAAATCCAGCCAAAATAAAGTGACAAAGCCTCCCAAAAAGCAGGCAAAGAACTGGACGAACGCAGCGCTTTGTGGCTCTGATGACAAAAATGCTGATGTGAGTGCATGGAAGGACCTGTTTGTTCCCTCTCCTGTGCTGAAGGCGCTAAGCAGTCTGGGATTCGGTTCACCAACACCGATTCAAGCCCTGGCTTTGCCCCCAGCTATCAGAGACCGCATGGATATACTAGGGGCAGCAGAGACAGGTAAAGTGTTGTCACTGTTTTCATTTATCGTCCAGTTTGTCTAATAACACTCTGCTACCTCAGGTGAAACTAATGTGGGTGCTGTGATTACAGGAAGCGGGAAGACGCTGGCTTTTGGCATTCCCATCATCCACACCATCCTGGAGTGGAAGAATGGCTCAGAAAAAACAGTTGGTGATGATCCTGAACCACCCGCAAAGGTGGAGAGTTTGTATTTACCAGATGTAGACGAGGCCTCAACCGAAGGGGAGCAGGAGGACAACGAGGAGGCTTCAGAAGAAGAGGATGAAGGTGATGAAGATCAGGTTCAAGAGGACTCGGATGAAGATGAAAGTGACGCTGAAGAAAAAGCTGAGGATGATCAGCTTGGATGCGTTCAAGTCATTGAAAACGCAGAGTTTAACTTTGATGATAAACCTGCTGGTGCTCAGAGTCAGCCTCTCCTGGGCCTGGTCCTCACTCCCACCAGGGAGCTGGCGGTTCAGGTCAAACACCACATTGATGCTGTCGCTAAATTCACCGGTAAGTCTTCATAAACCAAACTGTTGTAACGGGGATCTTCTCTTTATAAAATAGATATTCACAGTGTTCCTGTTGTGCAGATATCAAAACAGCCATCGTGGTGGGTGGAATGGCGCAGCAGAAACAGAGGCGGATGCTGAAGCGAAGGCCAGAGATCATCATAGCGACTCCGGGCCGTTTGTGGGACTTGATCAAAGAGAAGCATCCACATCTGCTCAACCTCAGACAGCTCAGGTAACAGCACAGTTCACCTCAGTGTGAGTGATGTGATATGGGCTGATTCAAATACAACATTAGAGTCTGCTGAAGGTATAAAATGGCTCTGAAGTGACCACCAGTGTAGTCCTAATGGGATGTGTTTCAGTAACTCCTTCATGCTCATTCTGTTGTCTGACAACAGGAACGTAAAATGTGTAAATGAGAACAGCTTTATAGGGAATTTGGCTGCATAAAGATGTATGTGAGCACAGAGGGCAGCAGAGACACAAACAGATGTAACAGCAGCTAAAAGTGAAGCACAACCTAAAAACACAGTAAATCACTCTGTGTCTGTTTATTGGTTTCAAATCACTCTTAACGTTTCCACCATCCCTGAATGTCCTTCAGCTGTGCAACTTCCACAGAGCTCCAACCTGTGGACATACGATTAAAGCTAATAGAAATGTTACTGACATTAGCCACACAACACACGAACTAAGGAGTGGTTCACTTCACGAGCAGTGAGAGGGGAGGATTGGAAATTAAGGCTTGATCACTTTTGGTTTCTTTGCTGGTACAAGGCAGTTCTGTAAAATTCTTATTCGCTTATAAAGCTGAGAGGTCGTCTAGTTTTTTGGGGGACATGAGGAATGGAAAAAGTAAATATCTTTTATATCTCATCAGCTTTTACTTTACATCTACAGAATTAAAAATATTACGCATTTATTTATATGATGCATGAAGTCAATCATCATCTAGCCCAACTTTCTAATTAATTAATCAGATTTTGACAAATGGCATCATTAGTTCCGGTTCTAAAAAGGTAGATGGATGACTGTAAATGTTTTTTCTGTTCATATTTTCACTGAGAAAGAAGCAGGGTTCTGAGTCCTAACAGGAGGAACCAAATTAGCCAATTTTCACTTGCAGAGGGACAGTTTAGGATGTCATTAAAAGATTAAATATCCACCTTATCAAACATGTGTTGTACTAAAAGGTGCAGAGGACCTAAGAAAAAATGACTTCCTCCATGCCACTGATTTTCTAACATCTCAGCCACGCAGGGCTTCGCTGTCAGTGTAACATAACAGGAGGAGATGAACTGACTGCAGCACATTATTGCTGTTTACAGGATCCTTGTGCAGTCATTATAAAACAAAAGGGCCTTCAACAAAGTGTTTACTGAAAACAGAAAGTCAAGCAGTGACATGTTTTTTCCTCGTATGATTTGACTTCCTTCCAAAATTTCACTGGGTCTGAATAAGAACTTATAACCTCACTGATAAGTTGTGCGTTTATTTCTTAAACACCTAAATGCTGATGAGTAATAGAGCTTCCTTTTGTGTCTTCCTGTAAACGGTAAGAAAGCGCCTATAGAAACGAGGTGGGATAAGCGATATGATAAAGATCGTAAACTTCTGTGATACAGATCTTTTCTGTTTGTTGGATTTTCATCTTTTCTTCACCACTGCTGGTTGTGTCTTCGTACAGGTGCCTGGTCATCGATGAAGCTGATCGCATGGTGGAAAGAGGACACTTTGCAGAGCTGGAGAGTCTTCTGGAGATGCTCAGCACCACACACTTCAATCCCACGAGGCAAACCTTCGTGTTCTCTGCCACTCTGACGATGGCTCACAGCCTGCCGGCCCGCCTCCTTCAGAAGAAGAAGAAGAACCTGGACAAGAGGAGCAAGCTGGAGATTCTCATGGAGAAGGTGGGAATCAAGTCCAAACCCAAAGTCATCGACCTCACCAGGAAGGAGGCGACTGTGGAGACGCTGATCGAGACGCAGATCCACTGTCAGAAGGAGGAGAAGGACTTCTACCTCTACTACTTCCTGCTTCAGTATCCCGGGCGCACCATGGTGTTCGCCAACAGCATCGACTGCATCAAGAGACTGAACACGCTGCTGGTCATCCTGGACCGCACTCCGCTGCCTCTGCACGCCAACATGCACCAGAAGCAACGCCTCAAAAACCTGGAAAGGTTCGCCGAGAGGGACAGGTGAGCGGTGCACACGTTTGCAGGAGCGGCCTCCAGGTGTTCGCCTTTCAGTTTGAACTTCATCCAGCAGCTGTGATGAAATAGAAAAACCTGTTTACTGCTTGAGGGTTTTATGATGTCTGCACATAAAAGCCTGTGGAAGATTTCCCAGGAGTAGTTCTCTCATGACTTGAGAACATGTGATTCATACGTTTGCAACCAGTAGTTTCACAAAAGCTGTCGTCCCAACAACCACAAGGATTTTTTTATTTTTTTTCATCTGGGCCCACATAGTCATGTCTGTACAGATGTTGTGCTGCCTCCATATTGGCACCATCAGCCTTGTTTAAAAAAAGAAGAAAAAAGGTTCAAGGTTACTTTATTAATACCCGTTGGTAGATTTGTTTTGCAGAATTGAACCTGACAGGCAGATACCTGATCGAGTGACGAGACAAAAAAAAGACAAGAGACAAAAAAGTGCTCAGTTATTCTGCCATTCATCAACATGACAGCAAGGAAGATAAAATAAATAAGATCAAGATAAAAAATAAAACACCTTAGGGAAATAAAAGCAATCTCTGGGATAAAAACCAGGATAAGAACATAAACTTTTATTTAAAAGTCACAATGATAAATAGAGTGAAGAAATAAAACAAACTGCAAATGTCACCACTTCTTATTGAGCTCAGTGACGGGAACAAAGCTGTTTTTATGACGCTTTGTGCTGCACCTTGAGACTAAAAACCTCTGTCCAGAGGGAAGAAGAAGCTGAAGTTCACCTCGTAGACCAGTGGTTCTCTTTTTGAGTCACCAAGATAACATAAGTTTGTGTTCATGACCCCCCAATTTGAATTTTTAATGTCATGAGTAATAGCTTTGTTGTTCATAAATTAATGTGTTAAAAATTCCTGTTAATTCCACAGAGTAATCTCTGTACATTAACACGTGAACTTTCTTTTAGATGAATGAATTAACTGAACGGGAAAAAAATACAAAAACGAAAGAAAATGATTTTAAAAGGAGCATAAAAGAATAATAATAATATGGAATAATCAAATCATAATATTAACAAGTTTGAAAAAGGACTGGGAAGGAGTATACACTTTTAATTCTGACAGCCCTAATACACATTTTTTTGATCAATACAGGCTTTATTTTTATTTTTTACAATGATCTGGTGACCCCCAGTCTGAGAACCACTGTCGTAGAGGATGGGAGTCATCACTAAGGATTGATAAAGCCACCAGGGAGGCTGGACTAGACTGTGACTCACCAATCAGGCGACTGGACCGTCTCACTATTTGGTTCAGTGAGTGTTTCTCTGTAACAGGTCAGACCTAAACATGCCACCATGCAAAAGGATAAAAGAACGATAAAAAATAGTCACGATTGTTGGGTCAACGCACTAGTTTGGGACGAGTTTAATGAAAGTTTACCACATTAAGATGGTTTTATTGTAACTGACCTTAAACTTGGGTTTTTGTGGTTCTTCTGTTCTGCAGCAGCTGTGAGCTCATCGCCATTTAAATTTAAATTACAGGAAAAAAAAGACTCAAGACTTGTGATTTCTTTTATGACATTTTGATCTTGGTGTTATCAATTAACAAAACACTCAACCAGGTTTTGAGAAATATAATACTTTATTGTCACATATTAAGCAGCTCTAAGCTTCACTGAACCAACACTGACGATTTAACTTTTCAATCATAGCTGTGTTCTTCTGACGACTGATGTGGCAGCAAGAGGCCTGGACATCCCCAATGTCCAGCACGTCATTCACTACCAGGTAAACCCCCGAGATGTTAACGTCTTTAGCTGCAGCCAGACGTCTCACATTCGGTTACCGGTGTTTGAAATACACAAGAACTGTCCAACATCAGCCATCCATCTGACCTAAACAATCCTGAGATGTAGTGCAGGCAGATTGACTTTTGGTCCACAACTTACATTTACAGATTTCTAATGAGTGAAGATGAACAACACACATTTAGCTGTTTATCACTGTTTAATGCAGCAGCGCAATATAAGCTCCCAGCCCCACTGTGCCCGCCGCCTGATGCAGTAACGCCTCGTCACTCTGTTTGTGGACACCAGGTTCCGAGAACATCCGAGACGTACGTCCACCGAAGCGGCAGGACGGCGAGAGCCACCAAAGAAGGTCTCAGTCTGCTGCTGACAGGCCCGGACGACATGATGAACTTCAAGAAGATCTACAAGACTCTGGGCAAAGACGAGGAGCTCCCGATGTTCCCCGTGGAGAACAAATGCATGGAGGCGATCAAGGTGAGATCAGGTCCTACCTTAATGTTATATTAAAGAACACGTGCTTCATGATTCACTGATAAACGTGTCTGTCTACAGGAGCGAGTCAACCTGGCCAGGAAGATAGAAAACTTTGAGTTTCACAACAGCAGAGAGAAGCAGCACAACTCCTGGTTCAGACAAGCAGCAGAGGCTCTGGAGGTCGACCTGGATGATGATCTTTTACTTGGTAAGACAAACGCGAAATGAAATAAAAGCAAATACACGAGTAAATATTGGAAAAACAGCCCGCTGAGAAGCCGCCTCTGTTCACAGGCAACACGGGGGACGAGGACGCCGACAGAGAGCAGCAGAAGATGGTCAAAGGGATGAAAAAGCATTTGAAGCACTTGATCTCTCAGCCCATATTCAAGAACGCGATAAAGACCAAATACCCCACACAGCTGGGAAAGCTGCCCCTGCCTGACATGCCTCTAGCGAGGAAGGAAAGTGCCCTCGCCAGAGTGTTGGTACAGAAAGAACAGGATTCAAAGAAAAGTGTTGCATCGCAAAAGAAAAAACGGAAGCAAAAGAAAGAAAAGCAGCAGCAGTGACGTGTTTCTGGGAATGTGATGAAATAATGTGTGAGTGGATTCATGTGATCGTTGAGTTCATGAAAAAAGAAAAAAAATCTAAACTCCTTTTAATACTTAATGCACATTGTGCGAATATTGTATTTGTCGAGTTGCTGTAACCTGCAAGATTTTATAAAAATCTCTTTTCATAAGTGTCTCAGAGCCCCGTCGCCGTTTATTCAAATATCCTGAGATGAGCCGAGTCGAGCTGCACCGCTGGTCAGAGCCGAGGTCGCGGGTAGAGGATGTTGTAGTGGGACGTCTGGTAGAGGAGATGCAGGGACGGCTCGGCGCCCTCTGGAATGATGTGGTGGGCCAGCTGCTGCTCGTCGCCCTCCATGGACACGATGTGGATGCAAATGTCCAGGGCCTGTGTCAGGGCCAGGATGTCCACGTGGTCGCACTCCATCGCCATGGCCTCCACTTCCTGAACAGAAAGAGCGTCGGTTTTATGTAGGCCTTCTGCAGTCGCCCTCAGATTTATTCTTCCGTTAAAGAAAAGGCAAAATTCACAGAAGTCACTCAAATAAGTAGAAACTGGAAAAAGTAATAATAAATAAAAATTTGCTAAATTATAATTCAGTGAAATAAGACATTGCTTTTGAATTGTGGGTGAAAAGAATAATTTAAAAAAAAAGAAAGAAAGGGTTCAACAAAATATTACTTTATGGGTCCCATCATGCTTGTTTTTTTTTTATTATTTTGTTTTTTTTAAATATTTCTGTTGAATCACAATCCAAAAGCAATGTCATGATTTCCATTAAATTTTTATTTATTATTAATTTTGTCAGCTTATTTCAGCTCTTTTTTCCCCCCCCCCTTCTTTAACTGGAGGCTATGAATACATGTGAGGACGACTGTATCCTCTTTTCAACCTCCCAGCCTCCTCAGCTGATCCGTCCTCTCACTAGATGGCAGCAACACTTCGGTACTAACTTGGCGACAGTAGACCTGCAGATCAGGCGCCTCCACGAAGTTGCAGAAGAAGTCGGCGTGGTTCTGCAGGTGCGCCGACGTGAGCAGCCTGAGATACTGCACCACGCCGTCCGAGGTCACGGGTTCGTTGAGGAGCCGGTGCAGCGTGTCCTCCTGCTCCTCGGCCTGGCATCGCTCCACCACGTTTACGACCTGCAGGAGAAGAGACAGAAACCGGTCTGGCACTTTGTCAAGACCTCACAGCAAGTCCGACTGGTTTGGACTTTTAGTGCTTCTTCCAAGTAAGTCATCACGGCGGTGGTGTTGTTTTCATTTTTCATCCCTCAGGCTGTAACTCAGTGATGAGCACATGGTGGGATCCTCAGCTGGGTGCAATGTTTTCACATTGTGCAGGATTTAGGGGACATGTTTGCTTCCCTTTTGAAATCTGCATAGAAGTGCAGGTAAAAAAAATGTAACAGCAGGTCACCTATACGACTAGAACGGGGATTTTTCCTGTCGATTTGAGATCCTGACCCCCACAAATGAATTCCTAATTCATGGGAAACACTTAATCCAATGACTTTAGCACAAAATACCCTCAACATGCTTTTAGATATCGATTATTAATCACATCACACCTTTGCAGGGACATTATTTTTGGGCTATGCAGAGTAATAGGTCCCAACTAGAGTGATGAAGTCGACTTCAAACGTATTCATCCCCTTCCATTAAAGAAAATGCAAAATTCAAAATAGTCACTCAATTAACTAGAAACTGAAGAAAGCAATAATAAATAAACATTTGCTAAATTATAATTTAGTGAAATAAGAAGTTGCTTTTGAATTGTGGTTGAAAAGAATAATTAAAAAAAAAAAAAAAAAAAAAGATGACTTTCATGTAATTTGACTAATTTTTGATGGAAACCACGTCTGAGTTCTGGTTGAAACTGACACCAGATCAGTTCTATGTCCATCCAGGTGTCTCTGTCTGAACACTGGATCTGGATTCTTTTCATGTTTTTTTTAGGGTTTTCCTTTTTTTGCATTTTTCAAAAATATTGTTTTGTAATTTAAACTGTTCCTAATTTATTACTTGATTTATGTCACTTTCCACAGTACTTTTTTATTTATGTAGTACTTTCATACTTTTCTTTTACATATTTTATTTAGAATTTCTCAGATCTAGATTTCTATATTTATTCCTGTCTTGTTATTGTTGTGGACCAGGTCTCATTTACCAAATTCATTGTGTGTGCAGCTCACTTGGCAATAAAAAAAACATCTTCTAAATATTTCTGTTGAACCACAATTCAAAAGCAACGTCATGATTTTTTATTATATTTTTATTTATTACTTTTGTCAAACTTATTTCAGTTTTTTTTCTGTCCTTCTTTAACGGGAGGCCATGAATACATTTGAGGAACTTGTGAGGGAGGAAGAACAACTTGTATTTTAACAACAGGGACCTGAGTGACTCCCTTTCCCACCAGAACAAACCGTGTGGCTGTGAATGAGGTGAATGAGGTGAATGAGGGTATTTACTGTGGTCAGGTGGTGCCTGAAGGAATTCTCATCAAAGCCCGCAGAAGCCAGAACTTCTCCGCTGTGGATGATCTTGTCCTTGAACCTGACATTGAAACCAGTGAGACAGACCCCTCTTATTGCCCTGCACACTGTAACGGACATTGCAGGGGGGCTTTTAGCTGATGCTAACGGCAGCTATGATGACCACTGACCTCTGCAGAGCTCTGGCATTGTGCAGGACCGACTCCAGGTGCGCGAAGCAGAAGGCTCTGTAGAAGCAGTTCCCGTCTCCGCGCACTTTCCTCACGGCGGAGAAGCGGCCGTTCAGATCCTAACAGAGGACAGTGAAGTTAACACGAGCCCCCAGAGCAGGCTGACTTCCCCCCAACCCTCCCTCCAACAGCCTACTTCATGTTTGGCGCTCGGTGTTTGCGCAGAGAACAGCGCGGAGATGTCTTCTGTGCGTGAGACCAAGCTGCCGACCTCCATCTGTGGAAACAAACAGCTTCACCGTCAGAGAGGAAACTAAAAAAAAACCCGCAGCTTCAGCGGCCGCAGCTCGTTACCTTCATGTTTCAGCAGCATGGAGAAGTTCGGCAAGACGTGCGTCAAAAACAAGCCGCAGCTGTGCGTCAAAACATTGTTGCAATTTTTGTTTCCACTTTTCTGAAACCCGGATGTTTGCGGAAACCACGTGTTTGTGTTAAAGGGCCAGTACGGTGTTTTTCCTGCGTCGGAAAATAAAGGGAGAAAAATTAAATGTTAAAATGATTTACTCATGTACGTGTTATCTGTAGAGTAGTGAGAGTGCCAAATTACAAAATAAATCAATAAAATGTTTTTTTTTTTTTTTTTTTAAGTGGAAATAAAAAGAAGAATAAATAAAATAAAAAAAAATAAATAATGTGGCTATATAAAGTGATAATAATCAAAAATGAATCCATAAAAGAAAAGGCCAATAAAAGTAGAAATATAAAGACAATTAAAGACATCGTTTTAAATATGGGCATTAAAAAAAAAAAAAGTTTCTATTAAAATACAAAAAAATCTCTTTTTGCTGTTGTTTTGTTGTTGCCAGAACTTTTTCTGTTTATTTTTTTATTTCTTAAAGGGAAGATATGTTCCTGTTATAATAAGATTTTTTTTTTTTACATTATTATGGCATAAAACGTTTGATGTTATAACAGAAACATTTCTTGTTCATTATATTATATTATATTATATTATATTATATTATATTATATTATATTATATTATATATCTTGTTATCATGTGATACCTGATTTGTTTCATGTCTGAACGAGGAAGGAGATTGTCAAAGAATAAGATCAGGTAAGAGATCGATTTTCTTTAATTTCATTAAATTTAATAAATGTTATCGTGTTATAACAAGATCAGTGGTATAGTGTTAGAAAAAGACGTTTATACGTGTATATTCTGTAGCCTGATAACATGAAAATAGTTTAATATAACATAAATATATCTTGTTATAACATGAAAAACATCTTTAAATAAACTTATAATATGTTACTGATGCATTTCTATTTTTCTATTAGTCTTCCATCGTATTGCATCATTTGACCTGTTTTAACTACACATTAATGCATCACATTTAATTTGATGTCCATATTTTTTATAATCTGAATCAATAAGTAGCAGGAAACTGACTCTGACACTCGATGGTAGTGGAAAAGTTTAATAAAAAGCAGACTAAAAGTATGCAGGTTGGCCGGATGTTGTGAAGGTAGGACGGTGAGACAGTTCCTTCCTATTAGGATGCAGCTAAACCAGACAAAGCAAAATCTTTTTCCTACACGTGGACGTGCCAGTCAACCCAGATTACCACTTAATCTCTAGGAAGCACAAAATAAACCTCTTAAAATATGTTTTGCTGCTTAAACCACATTGCTGAGATAAATAGCTTTAATAGTAATCACCGTGTGCAGCAGAAAACTGTAGAAGAACCCGTCTGGCAGCGCGCGACAACGTGGAACACAACAGAATCCTCCTCCTTAAACTGTTGTCTTGTGTGACTGAAAAATGAGACATTTTGCCACATGTGCAACATGCAGGACTGTCAGCAGAAAAGTGACTCAGCTACATTATAATTACTGCTTTTATTAACAGAAATTCAGACGACAACAAAGAGTCACTACTTTATTTTTAATACTTTGATGTGTGTGGATCATTGCTACAGTCAAATGGATTCATATCCTTCTATTAAAGAAAAGGCAAAATTCACAAAAGTCACTCAAATAACGAGAAACTGGAAAAAGTAATAATAAATAAAAATTTGCTAAATTATGATTTAGTGGAATAAGACATTGTTTTTGAATTGTGGTTGAAAAGAATAATTTAAAAAATAAATTAAGACAAACTGTCCCGGACTAATTAGAGGCCTTTGCTGATGAGCAGTGAAATCCAAACACCTGTCAACAGGTGCACAAGTCTGACTGAGAGCTACAGAAAACACCTGATTGCAGTGATTAAAGGGTTGTTCAACTAATTATTAGTCTATGGGTCCCATCATGCTTGTTTTTTGTTGTTTTTGTAATATTTCTGTTGAACCACAATTCAAAAGCAACGTCATGATTTTCATTACATTTTTATTTATTATTACTTTTGTCAACTTATGTCAGTGTGTTTTTCCTTCTTTAATGGGAGGCTATGAACACATCTGAGGACAACTGTATGTATAATTTAATACATAAGGAAGCTGCATACACGTCATTGCATACTCTGTCTGACAGCATCATTTAATTGTGATCATTTTATTTTAAAAGGAAACAATGATTAGATTTCAGTGACAAACATTTGCAAAGTTCTTCATTTGAAACTGTTGTTTTCATTTCAGTGGCTATATATCTCATCTAAAGTGCAATAATTGGTGCATAGCTGCTTCCAACACTGAGAATTCGCTATAAGAACAATCAAATATATCTAAAAATTTACTTAAACAGAAAACATCTGCTAAATTGTCGTCATTTTTTCTCCTTCCAGCATCAAGACTCAACCATCCTAAGTTTCTCTGATACATCCTGAAACCACAGCATCAGCTCAGCGTCTCGCTCTTCCTGCTGACTTTGCTCGAGCTTTTGATCTGCGTTTTGCTCCCGATGCTTTTCAGAGATCCTCTTCCCTTTTTGTCCGTCGCGGCCGTCGTGCTCGTCGTGGCGGAGCCCGACTCCATCAGCCTCCTCACCCTCCTCTCCGTGTCGGCCTTGTCCAGAATGAACTCCTGCAACAATCCAGGAAAACTAAGCAGTGCAGATTAAATGAGTCGCTGATAACCGGCGCATCAATGAGGACGTTACCTTCACCATGTCCATCACCGTCAACACGTTCATGCTCTCCAGCGGGCCGTATGCTGGGAGGTAACACTGCTCTGCCAGGTTGTTGACGGCCATCAGTAATCTGCCGTCCTCCTTCACCTGACAGGCAACAAACACATGTGGCTGTATTTCTTTCCAACACTCCCATCCTCACATGCTAAAGGGAATCCTACCTTCTCCCTGGACAGACTCTGCTCCATCAGGAAGTTGACCTCTGCCTGCTTGTTCTTCTCTGTCAGGGTTTCTAACTCGCTCTGGAGTTCAGACACTTCTTTGCTGGCCATCTGCAACAGCGACACCGTCACTCAAGCACTGAAGAAGAAACCAAACGTCTTTATGTGTGTGTGTAATATCTGACCAGCTTCCTTATGCTGTGCTCCTGCTTCATGCTCCGCAGCTGTCGGTGGCCCTGCTCCACCTGCTCCTCCATACGGCCCAGACGCTGCAGCAGCTCCTGATAGGTGATGGACAGGGCCTCGTGGCGCCGGATGATGGGCATGACCAGAGATTCAGAGCCGTTATCAAGGTAACCTGGAACAGATTGAGCCGTTTGTTGCATCTCGTAGCTACTGTGTAGTTAGCTAAGTAGGCTAAACAGATTCATGTACAAGTTCATCCATCATCTCTACACCTTAATCCTCACTAGGGGGCGGAGTCTATCCCAGCTGACTCAGGGTGAAGGCAGGTTCACCTGGACAGGTAACCAGTCTATCACAGGGCTACACTTAGAGACAGACAACCAAGCACACTCACATTCACACCTACGGACAATTTAGAATCACCAATTAACCTCAACATGTTTCTGGACTGTGTGGGAGGAAGCCGGAGAACCTGGAGAGAACCCACGCTGCACGGGGAGAACATGGAGACTCCACGCAGAAAGATCCCGGCTGTCCTCACCGAGGATCTTCTAGCTGTGAGGCGACGGTGCTAACCACCTGCTCACAAGTTCATTCATTGGGGAATTAAAAGTCAGTTTTCAACTTACTGCCTGGGAAGTTTTCGAGCGTTTTCATCAAGTAGTCCTCGTACATTTTGTATTTTGTCATTCTCTCCTTTAAAACTTGCTTCCTGTGAATTGAGATGCGGTAAAGTTGAGGTTAAACCAAAGAAGCTTAATGAGTAACATCGTCACTCTGGGTTCAGGTTCTCACCGGGCTCGAAGCTGCTTCAGCTGTTTGGTCAAATCTTCGATCTCCGTCCGTTTCAAAGCGTTCTGCTCCCGCGTCGCTTCACACGTCTTCAGCATTCGACGTCGCTTCGCTTCGTTTTCAGCCACAAACTTCTCGAATTTCATCACCTTTTCTTTAGTCTGGACGAAAATACAAAGCAAACCATATAAGGACGGCGTCATGTGGACGTCCTGTAAACATCAGTGACAGACGACTGCTCCATATTTATTTTTGTATTCGAGTAATTTTAGAAGGTCTCGACTCGCCTGCTGTTGTTTTTCCTCCAGCTCGGACCTTCTGTGAGCCAGAGCCTCCACGTTCTCCTCAAACTCCTGCCGTCTGAGCGCCAGTCGCTTGTCCACCTCGTCCAGCTCGGCCTGCTTCTTCAGGACCAGGCTCTTTTGCAAAGTGTGCACTCCTGTTCCTCGAAATCTGCTCCAAGTCTAAAAAACACAAAACAGAACCTCTCAGGTCTGTGTGGATTATGAGTTAACCTGGACATCCTAACAGATTCAGGACACTTGACCTCACAAACAAAAGGCTTCTTCAGTTATGAACAAAGTTGGGGGTGATGATATATTTCTCATCAGTCAGGTAGAACTGAAGACGCCTTTTGGAAGAGAGATGGCATCGCTTCAGGAATGAAAAAGATAAGTCTGGTCACTTTATATTGAAGCTCTTGGGATGAGCTCTGAGGTGCAGAAACACTGAAACCCTCCTGAAGTCCTACAATGAACAACCAGGCTTTATTTATGCAGAACTTTTCAAAAAGAAAAGGAAAAAGGTGATGAAAGACGTGGAGTAGAATTAAATATACCCCACAAATGAAAGATAAAACCTAGAGAAGGCCATAAAAATAGAGGTTTATGGTGCTTTTACTATATTTTTTGTGATCACACAGGTTGACAACACACACCTTCATCCTTGGTCTTACCTGTGTTCCTGCAGGTGTGTGGCTCCCATGTCCTTCCTTCCTGTAACTGAACAGAAAACAGTTTAATTCAATCAGAACATTTATAAATAGGATTTTAAAGACCGAGCACGAGCCTCCTGGTCCTGGTCCGTGTCCCACCTGTTCTCCTCCGACTGCGTGACAAAAACTCCTCTTATTCTGGTCTCCACGTTGGCTTTTCGGCCGCCGTCCGGCAGCGCAGGAAGGCAGCGGGTCGTCATGGTGTCGGTACCGTGCAGGAGTTCTGATGAGGGGAAACGCGTCCGTCGGTTCGCTCCACGTTCGGCCGATCGCAGGGGGAAACGATCGATGGTCTCCCCCCTCCCCGGATGTTTTCCTGGATTTGTGTAGCTGTTGCCTGGTAACCGCGGGCCAGACAACCGGGAATGCGCCGGGATCGTTTCGCCGTTGTCATGGCAACAGCTGGGGAGGCGGTTCTGCTAAATGGGCTGAATGAGACGCATAGAAATGAGCTGGTCCGAGGTCCGACAGCAGGAGGACACGACTCCGGGCTCATTCCTGCGAACCCTGGACCGAGCTGTGAGGACCAGAGTCAATAACTACACTGAAAAAAAAAAATAAATAAAAATAATACAAATTTTAGATGATTTTATAGCTGATTGAAATACAGAAAAAAAACCTTTTAACAGTCACACATTTTTAAAAAAAGTCATGCAAATTAATACCTTTTCCTGTGATTTTAAGATAAAATAAGATCAACTTTATTCATCTTGGAGGAAATTGTTTTGCCACAATACAATAAACAATAAATAAAGGATATAGTGGAATATACACAATTACACAGAGTTTAGTAGTGAAATAGAAATAAAAAAAGAATGCAAAGTACAAAAAGCAAAGTGTCTAAAAGTGTTTGTGTGGAGTGTCTAAGTGGATGCCAAAGAATAGTGTCTTGAAAAACCTAAATCAAAAAACACATGTACAAAATGCAACTGTAGGCTCATAACAAAACCAGATTAACAGAAGTGAACTGAATGTGCTGCACTAGAAATGTTGCACTTGAACAATGATAATAAGGAAAAGGTCTGATGATATCACACATGGAAGTGACTCGATAGATAATATCTATAAGTTAACAAAACTTCTGGAAAAAAATCAGTTAAATAACAGCTACAAAATGATTTACCACATATCAGGCCTTAAAATATAGAATTTACCTTCAAATAGCAGCTAATGTCTGTATTTTTTTTATTTCTTTCTGATTTAAATACAGTCAAAACTGTAAGCTTAGCAGGATATTTTTCCTCATATTTTCTGACCAATTAATAAATGATCCCTGTGTGATTTCACTAGTTATTCTCTACCATTTAAGAAAACAGGGGAAACTTGTAAAAGTATACAAGCGAGAACAGTGCATAAGCTGCTGACTGAGATGCTCTTGGTAAAAGTCCATCAGGAGCTTTCATGATAAATTCTGGCCCAGTACAGATTTTTCCAGTGAGATGAATCGCACAATGAACACTGTAGTGCTGATATGGAAACACAGAACACAAAAAGACAGTTTAATACCTCCATGCCACTGCCCTGCCCCTTCCCCCACCACACATCACTGTCCAAAGGACTTAATGCATTCCTGCTCTACTGTATATTTTTGCTATTTGACCTTCTGCACCATAACTATTTCACACGCTATATTTACATACTTGTCTACGTCAAAATCTATGAGTGAATGTGAGTGATGAGTGTATTGTGGTGATAGGAAGGTAGAGGCACAGCGAGCTAAGAATTTTATTGCACTCGTAACATGTTTCTTGCTGCCCACGACAATAAAAGCCTCTGAATCCTTTTAATCCTTTAAATGGCCAACAAGCTTTGTGCTTTACAACATTCAGATATTTGTTAAAATCCTGCAAAATACTCAATCACCTTATTAAAGCTTCTTCTTGCTGTCGGAGCCTTAAATGCCTCTTTATCATAATAAGTGCAATATGTAGTCAACATGCAGCCACCACTACCTCTGTGAAATATCCACTCTGTGCAATATACACTGTGCTTGTGCTTGTTAATTAGTTTCATCTTTTTATATTGAATTTTTTTGTATATTTTTTCAATATCAGGATCGGCTTTAATGACCAAGCACGTACACAACATACAAAGGATTTGGTTTTGGCTGTTTGTTGTTGCCCTAGGAATGAGCAATAGGAAAACTAAAAAATAAAATAACTATAGAAAGAAAAAAAATAAAATAAGATAACAAATATATACAAGAATTTACACATCTGAGCAGAAAAAATATATGCAGTGGTGCAAAGTAGCAGTGCAGCAGTATTATTATGTTGTATACAGTTGTTTACAAAGTTTTTATATATTTTTTTGCACCTTGCTTTTCGTTGTTCTCGTTGCAATGACAATAAAGTGAATCTGAATTCTTCAGATTACATCTCCTGCTTCTACCTCAGACACACATCAAGGATTGATGCATTTGCAAAAAAAATAGTTTCTTCATGCAGGTGAATGTAAAATGTCTACGTCACTGGAGGTTTCCAGTTTCCACATGAAGAAAGGAAGTTGCATCTTAAAAGATGTCACATGGTGTCACAACAACCATGCTTGCACATGTTAAACTGAGCATGAGGGGAAAAAAAACTGTGCCTCAGCAGACGATGGATTTTATTCATGTCATGTCGTCTCAGGGCACTTTGCATCGTGAGGTCAAGACTTTATGTTATAATATAGATGAAAAACCCAATGTTTCCTCCATGAAATGTAAAAGCACAGGTAAAATCATTATTACGCCTTTCCAAAATAGATGTTTTGACATGAGAGTAAAAAAACCCAGATGTATTGGATAACATCAGTGAAGGCTGCACTACATTTATTAGTGTCAGGCTCACTGACAAGGCTGAACTGGAACAAGTATAAATTACACCTGTTCTGTTCCTGTTATGACAACTCAGACTGCCTGCTGTGAAACAGGATCCTCCAGGATTCAGGTTTAATTCATTACACTGAAATGGACCATGTCGGATTATATCATTTTCACCTGGCATTTCTACAAGTTTGTAAAATATGTAAACACGGAACCAAAGAAGTGCTGTTATGTTCAGAGGGGAAGTATCGTATGGACTCGTGTTATAACATAGAGGCTGATGCAGTAATAAAAACCCTGCAGTTATTAGGTTTTATGGTTATTATCAGCTTTTGTTGAACCTGTTTTAGAGAACTGCTGATACAGTGGAGTTAAACACACCTGTACTCACCTGTAGACATGTTTTTCACTCTGCTGATGTTAATGAGAGCAGACGATTAGACACGTGTGGCTTTCATGTCTTCTAGTTTGAATGCAATATTACATGCAGTAAGTGAGCCTTCAGTGTTTTGAGCATCACACAGCAGTCTGTGCACTGCATGGTAACCGGTTGTAGAAAGTAGCTTAGTACATTTACTCATGTGCTCCACTATTTGTATTTCACTTGGATATTTTCATTTTAGGGGGCTGTAAGGTGGCTCACAGCAAGAAGGTTGCCGGTTCGTGTCCCGGTGAGGACACCCGGGATCTTTCTGCGTGGAGTCTCCATGTTCTCCCCGTGCAGCGTGGGTTCTCTCTGGGTTCTCCGGCTTCTTCCCACAGTCCAGAAACATGCTGAGGTTAATTGGTGATTCTAAATTGTCTGTAGGTGTGAATGTGAGTGTGCTTGGTTGTCTGTCTCTAAGTGTGGCCCTGTGATAGACTGGTTACCTGTCCAGGTGAACCTGCCTTCGCCCTGAGTCAGCTGGGATAGACTCCAGCCCCCCATGACCCTAGTGAGGATTAAGGTGTAGAGATAATGGATGGATGGATTTTCATTTTAGGCAAATGTACACTTAGACTCCACTGCATTTCAGAAGGTAATATTGCACTTTAAACTAAACTAGATATAAGTAACAGCTTTAGGGTAAAGATTTGACAAAATGGATTACAGCACCAGCTTTTAAAATACAACGCAGGGTAAAGATGAAGCCAAGCCGAGTTCTGACATCTCACAAAAAGCGGCGTGTAATCGGGGTCAGAAGTTGTTAACAGCTCCATCAGAAAGTGATTTCTTTCCCATTAAACACTTTGCTTGCTGTCATTTTAATAAACGTTCAAATGATCCAATAAGTCACAGATCAGAAATTAAGATTAGATTAAAAGTTCAAAAACTGAAAACTGATTTGTGGATCAGTTTTTCCTTCTTTTCTCTCTCATTGATTATGTGACAACCCCTCAGATGTGTCTGCTGTGTATAAATCTGGATGTAAAGGAGCTCAAACGAGCTCCACTGCTGCTGCTGACACACTGATGCTGCAGAATTAATATTCTAATGATGTCACTTATGCATCAGTCAGAGAGAGCGAACCAGCACTTTAACACTTTAACTTCATCATGTAATGTGTTTACGTTGCTGTATTGGTGCTTTTACTCAAGTAAAGGATCTGAATATTTCTGCCACCACCACATATTACATATTTAATTTGATGGTTGATTCCAGCTGTATGTAATCACTGTAAAGATCAGGTTTTTTATGGGTATACAGTAAAAAAAAAAATAGAAAAAACAACAGCCTGCATTTACGGTCATATCTGAACTGCACATAAAAGACAATAAATTAACTCATTCTCTGGATTTTTTTGTATCTAGAATCTAAGAACAACACAATTCCAAGACTGTACTTGAATCACCAAGTTTGTCTTTGTCGGACAAATACGTAGGACTCTTCAGTAATTTGCCTCAGAGCTACGTCGTCTAGTTCCCCCGGCTGTCAGTAGATATGCTGCATGACTTGTTTGTTGCAGAAACAAAAAAAACAAAAAACAAAAGCCACTTCCAGTTTAGATGCAGGAAGCTTTTTTTTTCGCAAACACTTCTGAAGAAATGATTGTGAAACACAAATCTACTGGGCACTCTTCACGCACGTTTTCACATGTTGTCACGCCACAGTAAGATCTGATCAAACAGAAGGACGTTAGCGTTGTGTTCAGTGACTTCTGTGAGCGAGGATCAGGAACGCTGCTCTGTGGTGAGTGCTGGTTCATGAGGATTGAACTTTAAAGGAAATATTTGAACGTGCATTTTTAAATCTCTTTTCTTTCTGTGTGTGTGCATGTAGTTTAGTCTTTGTTAAAAAAAAATATGATGATGAACTTAATACTTCCTTAGTTTGTTAATTGCAATCATAGTTGAGGGAATAAACTGTGATCTCAGCTTTGTGTGCTGCTGTAATGCCGTCCTTCATGCTGCATATCTCCCTGTTACCCTCCACACATCAGTGTTGCCTCTGGAGCAGCAGAATCAAGTGGAAGCACAGTTGAACATGTCCTTAAAAGGCATCCCCCCTCTGTGCCTGAGCTGCTGCTCACTGATGTCTGCCAGTGCACATTTCAGCTCTTTCAAATCAGTTTGGTCTTCAATTGTATGCTGCATGTGTGTTATTACACTGGACTTTGTCTTTGTTTAAATTCTGCAGCTAATGTTTCAGCTTCTGTTTTCTCCTTTTCTTTTGTGGATGGTTCATCTGTAGAGAAGACAACCTCACATTCCTGGATGTCCCCGTCCTCAGAGCGGACTACAAATCTGCCGTAATGATCGCAGTCAGCAGATCCAGGTCTCTTTATCAGAGACTAAACAATGATATCAAAAGCAGGCTGGCGGCTTGCTCCCTGACTCTTCACACTTCGCCCAGCGCCACAACAAACTCGCTCAGGTGAGAAAAATGTGATTTCACTTTCTCCAACAGAGCTGTACTGCAATGCTTTACATTTTTAGATGGTAGAAGATAAAAATGCATACAAAGTTGTTCATTGTTTGTTCGTACAAGGTTCTGAAACATCACATGAAATGACTAAAACAACAACTGAAGAAGAACGACAAGAAAAAGAGAAAAGGTTTGTTGAGTGTTGCTGGAGAAGTAGAGCTCAGTTATCTGAAGGTCGTGATCCAAAGGAGTGTAACGTGATGAGCCTGGATCTTGGAAAGGATATAAATTATGAACAAACTTGTAAAAGGTCCAAAAGTTATTATTTGGCTAACATATCATAACCTAACACGTTATGCACATGTTGAATCTAAACCCCTAAAAGCATGTGACATGCAAAGAAACCAGCAACTGCTGCACTAATGCAAATTAAATACAGCTGCAGGAGGCTTGAACGTCTTTTCCTGTAGAAAGCAACGATATGCAGATAAATTAAAGCAACATAAAGTGTCTCTGGACCACAGTTACTGCTAGAACATCTTCAGTGTTCTTGCTTTGGAATCTCCAAGTTTTTTTGTAGATCGTCCATTTTTCCCATCTGTTGTCCCAGATTGATTGATTTCATAATATATGTGAGTCTCTCCATAACGTGCATCTCATCAATGATTTCCAGCCAGTTCCTCCAAGTAGGGGGTCTTCTTTGTGCCATTTCCTTGTGATGGCTTTTTAAAATCTTAATCAGACACCAGTCTTAGCCTTGGATGCTTTACATTTCCTAACTATAGCACAGTGCATGTTTTAGGTATTAATATCTTTCTCATCTCTTTCCACACATCGTCCCAGTATTTTTTAATTTTGGTCCAACACCATAAAACATGTGTGTGACCCACATTCTGGAGCACTGTTCACATGTTGGTGCAAAATCCCCCATAAGTGTTCAGTTGCGATCTCGTGACTGCGGAGGCCGTAACGTCCGATTCACATCTTTTTTTTTCTACTCGTCAGGCCCTGTGCATGGGGGGCATCCAGGAAGAGACCACCTCCATCAGGGTAGAACTGTGTCACAGACAGGATTTGTATTGATTTGCAGCAACAAAGAGAACAAATGGACTCAAACCACGTCTGCAAAACGGCCCTCGCAGCATAACAGAGCCACCAGCTCTCCTCGCTGTCAGGGTCAAGAGTTCAGGATTTTCCTGTGATTTGAGTATCAGCAGATCTAAACTGCTGCTGCTGCTTCTGCTTCCCCTCCGTGACACAGGTTACACGAGTGTCAATCACAAAACACGTCCCTCTGGTACAGAGACGCGGTAGTTGGTAAATTACAATCAAGCATGAGGGGATTTGCATCCTAAAATATCCAAAAATGCTACAGAAGAGATGCAAATGAGCTTTGGCCTGAGGTCATCATAAACAAGAACAACTGAGTCAGTGTTCTCATGTGATGCTGCAGGCTCTAACCAAAATCTGGTGGTCTGTTTTAAAGAACAATGATCGTTTCATACAACACTTTGCCAGGCCAATCTGTGGCCAAACTATAAAATAATTCAATAAAGTTAAACGTATAGAAGAGGAAAAACTACTGCATTAAAGTCTAAACTGAAGTCAAACCACAGTTTTTGTGGCTCTTCTGATTATCTCATAACGTCAGCCTCAGGATTAATATGCCCGGGCTATCTTGTGTTCAGATACAGGACTTTGAAAAGGGAGCGGTGCCTCGTGGATTGAAGCTTGTCTATCTTTTATTTTCTGCAGTTGTCTTGTCTGCTTGCTTCATTTAGGAACGCAGCCAATTAAATAAAGGCTATGAGGAAGAGAAAAAAAAAAACGAGCTCGGCTTAGGCTGCGTTATCTTCCTGCGCCGTTCCCCTTATCTCTGGATGTCCGAGTCTTTTGACATATATGGATAAACCCGTCACCCTCCCGCCTGACAATACAGTCCCAAAATAATCCGAGAGCGCACAGCTGAGCCCTGCGCGGCGCCGCAACGCTGCTCCGCCGCCGCCGACGCACCGTCAGAGGAAACACTGCCGCAAACATCTACCATCAGTAATGACGAAATTCAGCTATTCTGACTACTTATCTCAGTTCCGTAACGCCGGACGTAAATGTAATAATGTTCTGTCGCGACTGCGGGGAGATAGGAGGAGAGGAGACAATCAGAGCGACGGAGCGTCAGAGGCGGAGTGAGTCTTTTGTTGGACATGGAGGCTGCATGTGTTTGTCTGTGTGAGTGTGTGAGTGTGTGTGTTTGTGTGCAACTCAGGTCTTCGAAGCATAAAAGCCAAACGTGTTTAATCTTGATGAATACATCCACCACGTCTGGTCTATTTGCTTCATGAAGCTCATTAAAGTCAAAGAAATTCAAATAAACACCAAATGCAAAAAAAAAAGATTTTAAATCCACGTTTGAATCACATCCCATCAAATGACACTGATGTCTGCCTGAAATGACACTTGATTGCATTAATTAAAGTGATTTTTGTTCTTCTCCTTTCAAGGGATGTTGACCCGGTGGTCTTTGCCGTCAGGAGAGGGGATGTGGAGGCTGTTAATGATCTGGTGACATCCTCTTCTCACAGCCTGCTGAAGGAGAACAAAGACGGGTGGATACCCTTGCATGATGCCGCCTACTGTGGACAGACCGAGTGCCTGAAGACCCTATTGAAGGGTACGGCAGTGAAATGCATTCAGTGTTCCCAAAACATTTGTCAGTTTGAATCACATATTCAGTAAAGAAAACAACCCTGAAGATATTGAGTGAGGTGTTATGGTGCACTGTTTTCACATTCTCTCAAAATGCTAAATGAGTCACCCAGCTGGTTTGTGTGATATGTTTATTTTCTTGTTTCTAGCCCATCCAGGCTCAGTAGACAAACGTACATTGCAGGAGCAGACGGCGTTGCTGCTTGCTGTGTCTTGTGAACACTTGGCATGCGTGCGGTGCCTTCTGGAGGCAGGAGCTGACCCTGACATCAGCAGCAATAACAAAGAAACTCCTTTGTACAAAGGTACAGCTGTGAAATCACAACTATTTAGAGATAAACAACATGTATAGGAGCCACAGACGGTATAGAAATGACTCTTGTGTGTCTCTGCAGCATGTGAGCTGCAGAATGTGGACATGGTGAGCCTCATTCTCTCATGCGGGGCCACCGTGAACCAGCGGTGTGGCCAGGGGTGGACGGCCCTGCACGAGGCCGTGTCCAGAAACAACACGGAGATCTGTGAGATACTAATAAGAGCCGGGGCCACCATCAATCCACCGAATACCTACAGCATCACACCTCTCATTGTAGCAGCTCAGCGAGGACAGATGAGGGCACTGTGTTACCTTATTGGGAAAGGTACTTCTCTGCAAAAACAAAAAAACACACTCCTACATCTCACGATCCTGATCCTCATTTAAATGTTCTAAAGGAAAAATGCTTTTTTAGGTGCAGATGTGAACATGCAGACATGTGATGGAGTCACCGCGCTGCATGCGGCCAGCAAAAATGGCCACAGGGAAATCGTGGCTTTACTGTTGAGTAAAAATGCAGATGCCAACAAACCCACTACCTCAGGACTGCTGCCTCTGCATGTTGCTGCCCAGTACGGACACCATGAGTAAGTTAGCACGCTATCATCTGTTCATTATTATGATAGAAAACTCAAGACATCTGTAGCCTGATGCAAAATCTGCAATAGACTGAATGTTGTATGTGCTATTTCTTTCTCTTTCTTATTTTTGTATTCAGGATTGTGTCCCTGCTTGTCTCCGTGACGAGTCGAGCCAGGCTCCGGCACAGTTGGATCAGCCCCCTCCACCTGGCAGCAGAGCACAACAGACACACTGTGGCAGCTGTGCTGCTGAAGACAGGTGCAGATGTAAACGCCACACTGGCCCACAGTCACTCCATCCAGTATGCTGATCGACGGGCCACAGCCCTCTACTTTGCTATTGCCAACGGCAGCACCAAGACAGCAGAGGTCCTCCTGAACGCCGGTGCCAGCCTGAGCCTGGATCCAGTCAGCCCTCTGCTCATGGCTGTACGTCAGGGCTGCGTCAGCACCGTGTCTCTGCTGCTGGACAGAGGGGCCGACGTGAATGCCACAATCCCATCTTATGCTACTACATTCCCAGCTCTCGTCGCTCTTTGTATGAACAATCTGCCTCTGCTCAAGTGCCTGCTGGACAACGGCTGCGATGCCCTCTCCTGTTTTGCCTGTGCTTACGGCAGTGGCCCTCACCCAGCTGCAGGAGAATCCAGTATAAGGACTGCTGGCAGCAATGGCTTTGTTTTGCAGAATGACAGCATGCTTCCTTTAAACTGCACCGAGCCACCAGAAAGGGCAACGCAGGTGAAGGAAAAGAGCAAAAAACATTTTACAGTAACCAAAAATATCTATGTTCCCTTTAAGTAACGTGTATTGTTATCATTTTCTCCTTCAGTTCTGCGAGTGGATCTCGACACCTGTCATGTGTAAATGGGCAGGGCCAATTATAGACTTGCTGCTGGAGCATGTCGGTCATGTTCAGCTGTGCAACAAGCTCATCGAACTGCTGGACAGCCGAGAAGAATGGAGCACTGTTAAGATGAAGTCACGTAAGTATCACGTAAAATCTTTGTCTTCATTTTGTGTCTCTTTCACTTCCTCACACATGCACACAACACAATCGTGGTGTGCGGATGTGCAAGCAGCAGTCCTCCTTATCGTTTCTCTTTGCCTCGTCTACAGTGTCACCGCGTCCACTGCTGCACCTGTGTAGATTAAGGATTCGGAGCCAGATGGGGAGACACAGACTGAGATCTATCACATGCTTACCTCTGCCAAACAGACTGATCAGATACCTGACGCTGGCTGAGTGACTTTAAGATGAACCTCAAGCAATATAGTCCTCAGAGATATGACTATATTTATCTTTTTTGTGGGTCTTTTTATAGCTGTATCTGATATCTGTAAATGGTCCTCTCAAAGAAATTCTCTATGTATAAATATCTATTTATAATATATGTGATGTGACAATAAGGCTCTTTAATCTGTCCTCCTTTTTTTCCCCCCCACAGAAACCTTCAGTGAAAGGTAAAAATGATCTAGTGCCCAAAGGAGTTCTTGAGGGAAGTAGAATCATTTATTTAAAAATAAAAAGCCATTGTTCCAAATGTGCCAATCAAACATTACTGTGACAAAGAAAGGCAATTCTCACAGTTGAAAGAGGGAACTAAAACAGGATGTTTGGATTCATTCCTGTGACATTTTGTACTTAAAATAAAGAACAGTGCTTCTCTGTAGACACCTAAAAGTAGAAACCTTTGAACTTACTGTCAGATTTTCAGATAGGTGGCATGAGACTGACATGAAAGTGAAGCTGATGAAATCATTCGGCAAGTGCAATCCTTTAGGTTTAATCACAAAAATAGATGAAGCATCCCAATAAGTGCTTGAGGAAGTGTCTCGTTTCAGAACGCTGATAGAGAAAGACGCTGTGTCGAACACAACGTGGACATCATTAGTCCTATTTACACTGTTTTTTGTGCGACTTGTTCTTTAGTGAGCCCCTTAAATGAACCCAAACACGCTGAAGATGGGTGACTGGGCGGTGGGCTTGGTGGGGATGGGTTTGACCACAACGTGGGTGTGAATTTTCTGTCCATAAGGATGCTCAGGTCTCTCTGTCTCAGTCCCTGCTGCTTTGCTCCACAGTCCCAGGGGCGGATGGGGGACAACAATGTGACTGTGGAGGACCTGGTGGTGTCCGTGGTACTGGAAGGGGCAGCAGCCGCAAACACTCACACAGTGGTGAGAGGTCAGGTCCAGTTTCAGCGTCTCTTTATCCGCAGAGCTGCGCCGATTGGACGCAGACATTGCGGCCTTCGCGTCCTCGTCATAACTCCTTTTCCTCTTTTCGTTTTCACCGCCCTCAGACGTGGCCGCGGGGCTCCTTTTCAGTCCTAAATATGAGTGCTCCCTCTTAGTCTGGGTCAGCTTGGGTTCCTCCCAAAATGAGGCTGGCAATTGGCGTTTCCTCATAGGCACCTGCTCCACTGCGCTCCCCACGTTCTCCACGTCTTGCGCATCAGAGTTGGCCTTTTCTGACACCGTCACGCTCTGGTTAACAGTCCCCGCCGGTTTGGCGCATCTGTATTCCGCAGACCTGTGCGTGTGGCATCTTGGGACCCTGGAGTACTTCTGAGAGAAGCGCTTGAGTTGTTTCTGCAGATATTTCCGGTGATCCACGGAGCGTCGGCACGGAGCTGACTTATCCAGGGCCGCCTTGATGTCGCTGGATGCCAGATTTACAAAATTGAGCAACGTTTTGACCTCACTGTCTGCATTTGCCATTTTTGCCAAGACTTTATTAAATCAGTCCATATTTTTTTTTTAAAAAGGTGTAATCCAGCGTCAAGGTCTGGAGAGAAATCAGAAAACAAATGTTGGCTTTTGCGTAATTGCGCATCAGGAATTAAACATCAAAAGAGCGCCTGATATCTTGATTTATATTTCTGTCAGATATTAATAACCCTTCACTCACCACTGCTGGATGAATTCCCTCGAAGCCACGGTTCCAAGTACAGACTTCTCTCCAGGCTGCAGTAGGAGCACTTCAACAAGTTGAATGAATATAAACTCCTTGTAGTTATGGTGCTTTCCTTGAACCAATCAGCGACCCCAGGCCCCTCACAATGCACCCCAATCAGCCTCCAAGCGCCCTGGTATCGAATTCTTCACCATTGCAAATTGTTGTCATGGAGATCTGGAAAAAGCCGCTGAGGGGATGCGATATTTCTCCCTACACGATGATTTTTTTTTTTGGTTTTATTTTTATTTTCGCGCGCGTTGGCCAAACACCAAAGAAAACGCGGTAGTGCGCATAAACAAAAAAAATGAGTGTAAATTCTGCTGAAACATGCGTGCAGCCCAACTCCACACCAAAGTTGAGTTTTTAAACACAGATACCCGTCATACCCTCCCCAAGAGTGATGTCAGCTGTAGGATTTGGTGAGTTGGGGTGGGGTGCGGTGGGGTAGGGGGGGATCTAAAGAGTGCATAACCATGGAAAGGGGCTTGAACGCTCAAGAATCTTGTCTTTCTGTTTGCCCCCTCAATCGAGCGACACAAAGGCTGAATTACTCATTCAAACCTCGCGGGACAAAGGGAAAGGAGCTGGATAGCACTCCTGCATTTGTAGTCAAACATTTAGAGACTTAAATCGAGTCGTCATGAAGGAGAAAGAGTCGGACAAAGCCCATAGAATTGCCATCAGCAAACATTTTCCTGTGTCATATTATGGGGTCTCCATGGCTCCCTCTGGCCCGCGGACAATAGCACAAGTTTGCACACTCGAATACTGTCACCCTGCCAACGGCAACAAGGGCCCAAAACAGGACAATCCCCCAGAGAAAGCATGGGCTCCGCGGGGAAGGTTGCAATAGAGGAGGAAAATGGGACTTGTGAAATGCTAATTGAGCTTCATCCCCTTATTGAAGTGGAAAAAGAGCACCTATCGTTCCCCCTGAACCGCAGCAGCAGAGGAATGAGATGTGAGGAAGCTGTTTGTCTGGTGAGTACACCTCATGTCCTGAACCAGTCTGGGAGAGAGGTTCTTTAAAAAAAAAAAAATCTGCAGTCTATAACAAGGCTACAGGCCATTTATTCGGAGAGGGCTGCAGGCTACGTGATGGATTGCCTCATTCACTCAGTTTGGGGTTGTGTGAGGAGAGTCCTGCAGGTCTGTGTGCTCTTGGCTGCTCTATCTTTTTTTTCTTTTTTTTTTTAGGCGGTGCATCCCTCTTGTTCTGGAGAGGCAATAGGACCCCATTGTCCCCATCTCTTCTTCCCTTCACCTCTCTGTTCAGCTGAAAAGGCCAATTAACAATGGGGCTCTCCCCCCCCCACCTCCCCTGGCCTGTCACCCCACTCCTGTGCTTTTGAAGTGAGGAAGAATGAGAGAGGAGAAGGAGGAAGCTTAGTGACATCCATAAATGGCAGGTGGTGGTGGATGAGGTGTTTGTCCGTCATTTTAGATATTTAGCTGAGCTGATTTATTGGCAGTTTTCGCTCATTTCCCCGTATTTGCTTATCCACATTAATCCAGCTCAAGAGGGTCAGTCGACTACAGGGAGACAGAAACAAACAAGACACTTTAACTGCTGCATGTGCACCAAAGACACCTAATTTGTGCATCTCTGCTGTGCAATGCAAATTGAACCCTAAAAACACTGCTGCCGGGAGGTGTCTGGGGTCTGTAATGGTGCGCGGGGATGTTACGAACCACTGAACCATCATTCTTTGCCATGATTGCAGGAAAAAGTAGAAGCCCAGCAGAGCCGCTAATACAACCCAAATCTTATTCTGTCCTTCCTAGAAGCTGCCCATCAAGCATCCATTAGTGGAACTTTCTATGGTAAAGCACACTCTCTTTTTTTTTTTTTCCTGCCACCTTTGCTGCTTCTTTGCTCAGAAATACCAACAATAAGATAAGATAACACTGTTTTGGTCCCCCGGGGAGACATTAGATGTCCCAGCGGCAACAACAAATAGACCAGATACAGATATAAGAAAGATTAAAGCAGAGGAAAGGATGCAGACATTGACAAAAGCTGCACCATAAATCAAAATTACAGCCATATAATGTATCAGAGTTCACAGATTCATGAAGATAATAGTTTTTTGGAGTAGCTCAGAGTCAAATGGGAGGACTTGTTATGCACACCACACTCTGCACATTCAGGAGACAGAAGGGATTTGATAGGAAGAATTAGAACATTTAAATTATATTTAATTTGTTACACATGAAAAATGAGAAAATGGTGTGTATATGTAGATACACAATCCAACGTCAGATGCTCCTGAGAACAGAGTTGTGTTTTTATTTGCTCTTTTCAATTGTGTTTCTGTTGTTTTGCTGCTTTAACTAACATTTAATTACACAGTTAATTTATCAGCTCACACTAATTATGTGCTAATATAATAACTGTATGTATGAGTGTCTTAAAGTCATGTGTTACCAGACTTTTCCACTAGATGGCACTCTACCTCCACTGTGGTACAGCTCAGCATATATTTCCAATCATACACACTGATACCATAAAGAAGCACCACTGACAGTAAAGATAAATGCAGCTGAGTTTATTTTACCTCAACATTAATGTTCCTCATTTGACAGAGAGGTTTCAAAATCTCTTTTTTTGTTTTCATGCAAAATGTTATTTTTGGCCCCTGTTTGCTCACACAGATGCAGATTAAGCATCTTTGGCAAGAATAAGAACGCTGAAAGACCACAGTAATTACATTGAGAGGTTTTCTTATCTGAGTTTAAAAGGGTCGTGATGTATGTTGTGGCAGACTGCTGCTTGTTGGAATGAGGTGAGGTAGCAGGAAGGAAACGGGAGGATGTAGTACTTTTCGCTTGTCAGATAATCAATACTGTGACGGACTGTTGGACAGGATGGACGAGCTGAACCGCTGGGCAGAAAGATGCCAAACGCAGGCTCGTTGTCCTGCTTGGAAAAACTCTGGAAAAATCCCTTGCGCTGTACTGCTGTGTGCAAATGCAGTTTTAACAGCAGCTATGATTTTCCACTCTAAAAGTCATCCGCAGCTCTTTGTATGAGCTCACCCCATTACTGTCTGTGAAGAGCTTTTTTATAGGCAAGACATGTGATAAACGCTCAGCCGCAACAAAAGGCTTTAGGGCTCGATGCTGAATCCACTGATCTTAATCCAAAGTTGTTTGAATAGTCGGCTTAGATGTTATTTGCGTTATTTGGAAGAAGCAGGCTGTGACACAATTGGCTGTCACTTCTGTTATTTAAACCACCGAGCAGCTCCCTCAAACACAAGACGAGTCACATGGATACAACAGATGATTGTGGATTTATGGAACATGAATAAGCTATGAAAACGACACATGGGCCGGGCGGCAGGTTCGCCTGTCGGGGAAAGAAACTGTCCTCTGAAGGAGACATCTCAGGTTCAAGCATGAGCCAAAGGATGACATTGGGTGTGTTGAGTTTCAGAGGTGATGCTGTAGTGCTCCATAATGGAAGATCTCTGCAGACAGCTAAAGGAGAAACCGTTCAAATATGGGGAGTGTGATTTGGTAATCTATGCTGTTTGGGCAACAAAATGGGGCAGAAGTCTGTTCACGATTTAATTAGAACTCACAAGTTTTTCTTCTTTTTCAGGCAGTGCAATAACAAAAAGACATGGACGCTTAAGAATAGAAGAAGAACAGTCGTACATAATGAGGAGTAAAGAGATTGTGAAGTGTATGTTGTGCAAGAGTTGCCATTGTGTGTGTGTGCATGTGTTGTGTTACATTTGTTCCTGTTGGAGATGAGGTGCCATGATTTGGATTCAGACATGATGTCAGAATAAAAAGCCCATGGAGGTATCTTCTGGTGTCAAAGATATTCAATTTCCACTGATATAAATCATTGAAAAGCAGCGCATCATCTCAGCTTACAGACTGGAGCTTCTACATATTTGTTTTTTTTTCTTCTTCCAACTAAAACTCTGATCAATAAAGCGTCCGACGCTGCAGGAGCCGGTCAATTAATCCAGACAGAGCAGAGTTGTTCTGTGTTAGCTCTGCCTCCTCTGTTGTTATTAATGATGTCATCCCTCCCGTCAATCAACTGTTTTAGTAACCGTGAATGTCACGTTGGCTTTCTAGTACCATCTACATGACTGTGGGCTCTGGGGTAATTTCATAACTGCGCCCAGTGAAGACCACCGACAATATTATGCAACTCTGCTCTTAAAAAACTGCCCATTGTTGTCTGATTTCTCTGCACTCTGCCCTACAGCATCACCTCTTATATCAGTGTGGGGGTCAAAGGTTGGTGAGGCACTGATGGAAACACATGAATTTCAGGTTGTTGTGGGTTGTTTTGCTTTTTTTTTCTTTTCAAAAATGCTGTTTTTGAAATGTTCTCTGTTGTGGTGCATGATCAGTAAATGCCAGGTTACATCAGTATTGTTTATCTCAGCCCACTTTGGGACATTGGAACCAAAGAGTGCTCTAGCAGGCGCACAGCACATCAAACATGGGTACGGCAGTGTTTTCAGTCGGTAGGCGTCTTGCACTCTCTCTCTCTCTCTCTCTCTCTCTCTCTCTCTCTCTCCACTTGACTTTAATTCGGTCTAGTACGCGTCATCCTTACGGACTCGCCTCCACGCATTGTGGGCTATACTTTCTGCCTGGACCACTATTTTTTCTTTTTTAAATGAATAAAATCAAACATAAACAAGCAAACAAAGCAAAAAACAAACAAACAAACAAACAAAGCCCAGCTGACATTATAACAACGCCTTCATAACCACATGCCCTTCCCCCTTGTGCGTGCGTGTGCGTGCGTGTGTGTGTGCATGCGTGTGTGTGTGTGTGTGTGTTTTGGGGGGGACTTTTGGAGAGGAGCGGAGGGCTGGATGTGTGTGTCTGTCAGGATGCGCTGATGTGAGCGCTGCATCAAGTGCGCGGCGGTGATGCTCCGGTATAAAGCAGCCCGCTGTATTTTGGCACAGAGGGGGGATGCATCACTTTAACCCTCGGCTCTGCCCTCCGGACTCGCCCATACAGTGTTCAGCCTAGATAAGTTGAGGAAGAGGGGGGGGGAAATATGTGTGATGCCATTGCGAGGAATCCTACCACAACGATATTCCTGAGGATCTCTCTCTGTTCGGCTTTTTTTTCTTCTTCTTCTTCTTCTTTTTTTTTTTTTTCTTCTTCAACTTCGATGGCTTGAGTGGCCCATTTGCACTCATGCTCGCAGCCGAGGAGGAATGTAAGGTACGGGCCATCTACCGCCCTCACATTGCACGGAGTAGCGGCGTGATTCAGGTCGCTATCTGAGTGCCAATAAGAAAAAAAACTACTTTCGAGATGTGAATTATCGAGATTTGGCTACTCACTCCACCGGCTCGCCTGTCCTATGCTATCGACAACGGGATTTCAAGAGGAAAATGATTGTGGCATAAACTATTTCTGGAGACGCCTGTCACAGATATCGCCGCTGAACTGGATAGGGTGGATGGTTATTTCCCAAACAGTTCAAGCCTATGTATACTGCATTCATTTGTTGGAAACGCTCCCTAGTATCTTCGAGAACAGCGCAAGAGGAATGCTGGTCCAAGATCTAATGCCATTTACTTTAAGTTTTTGGCCTTTTTTCTTCGGTCATTGCCTTCTCTCACTGTTTTTACTCTCCTGCCAGGTAAGGATCACGTTCAGGCGCGCCACTTGTCAAATTACGCATGAGAAGCGGCTGCACTAATGTAACTTGAGTTTGATTTTCTGATGGGCTGTGGATGAGAGCTGCCAGACTAATTATGTTTTCCAAGTAATGCACGGGCTAATTAAGCTGCAATTAACGCATTATACATTGCTTGAGTCTTTGCACTGGATGTTTGGGGGGGTCAGCAGCCCGGGGGCGCACCTGTGTTTTAGGAAACACTGGTAGACATGCATGTGTGTGTAGTGAGTTTCCAGTAAGGCATGAGGAATACAGCTATGCACAAGTACGCACAGACACTCAGCTCTCTTGTAGTGGGAACATGGAGTAGCCAACTGTGTTTTTATGATAACAACATTCAGTTATCCCACCAGGATCCCTGCAGCAGGCATATGTTAGTGATGAGTATTCTAACCTCTGCCCCGTGCTGCTGCCTACAGATAGTGGTGAGCTGTTGTTCACACGCACGCAGTGTTGCCAGGGTTCATGTGTAATGTGATCTGCTTGAGTTTCCAAGTCCACCCACGCACACTCCTCGGGGCAGCCTGCTGCCCACTCTGTTGGTGGGTGGTTTCTTACAGGGAGCGGGCTGCAGCCATCGACGTGATACTATTCTGCATGTACTATATACACAGCAGCCCCAGTGACAACAACACTGGAGCTGTGTGATATGAAAAGAATGCTGAGAGGATATCCACAGTGCTGCTAACTGAGAGGCTGCTGAGTGTTCAAGCATCTCCATTTGTGCTGCACAGCGTTGTGCTGATGGTACTTCTGAGTAATGCACTGAAGGACAGAGTCGTTTCAATGTCTCTCTCTTCCTCTCTCCCTCACCATAAGGGAGAGCTCCAGAGGTCATGCTCACGGACTGTGGCGGAGAAAGTTAGTGAACAGTGCCAGTTGGCATGCCACTGTCGAAGATACCCTCCCCTCCCGCCACCTCCGCCTCCACCGCCTCCACCACGGCTACTGGGCACCGCAGGTAAGACTTTCAGCTCACACTCCCAGGTTTCACACCTGTCTCCCTCCCAGTCCGTCTGTCTCACCCTGTCTGCTCTCGCCCCACAGTTGGATCCCATTTCTAGCCAGACGCTGGTGTCAAGCAACTGGCTAGTCTGAAGAAACAGTTTAACTTGAAGTGTTTCCATTTATGCACAGAGGGAAAAAAAGTGCCATCAATCCCTCGAGATCAGTGTGTTAGCGCCCGTGCATGGGCGCAGTTTTTGCGCTCGTGCATTTGTGTGTGTGATGGAGCCAGCAGGATGTTGACAGCTGAACACAGGACTAATTTATGCCGGGTCTGACCTTGGGGAGTACCCAGCTGCCTGTGAAATCCATGCCTGCTGGGCTGCCAAGCTCAGTGGTTCAGTGGTAGGGTTTCCCCCGGAGGACCCCTGATTAAAACACAGATGAGTTAATTAAATTAGCTTTAATTTGATAGAGATAAGGGGCTAATGAAGCAGCCCAGTAGTTCCAGCTTCGTTTTGAAGTTGAGCTGGCGGCAATAAGTGTGTGTGTGTGTTCATATACAACAAACGTGCATATCTGTGTCGAGCCAGTTGTGGCAGTTTTCCCCTCACACTCCCTCTTTGGTCTCACCCTAAGATGGTAAATCCACTGATTGATAGGCAAACATATTTCACCGACCTGCTTGCCGAAAGTTGATATGATTTGTATGTCATCTCAAGCACCTTAATGAACAGTGCGCTGAAATATGGGACAGGCGTTGCTGATGATGCAGCCATTCTGAGCTATTACTGTGACTCTTTTGAATCACTCCCCCTGAGCCCTTCATATCACGAGGAGAGACGAGTACTTAATCATTGGGCAGTGGAAAGGTTTTTAATCAATTAGTTCCAATGATTTTTTGCTGTCTGGTCAATGTGGCTGGACCTTCCGTTTTCCTCCGACTTGCCCTGTGAGGTGCCCACGAATCCAGACTTCCAGACCCTTTTGTGATCACTGTCAAGGTCACTGCGTGAATGCTGCCAGGACCATCTGACTGTAAGCTAAGGTGGGGGTTTGAATGCCCAGTCACAGCGAATGCATGAGTGGATCTCTAAACGTCGCATTGACAACGTTTGACGCCTCCATAAACATCAGCGTGCCGTGATAAATGTGATAAATGGGCCAATTTTTACTCCGTTTTAACTTTACTCAGAAATGTTTGCAGAGGGTGGAGACGCCATGAATAATTCATTTAACAGAAGTTTTTTTTCCTCACTTCTCAATTTGATCTATAGAGACGCATAATTATCTTGATATTCCTTCAGTAGCCCAATTTGCTGAGCTTTTAGAGCTGAAATTTTGCTTTAAACTGTAGTCTTTAAAAATGCCATGAATATGCATAGCTAGCGTGGAAAAACTGGGACAATGACTGAGACCTTATCTACGTTCTAAAAGTGTAAAATAAATGGAGGAAAAATTGGCACTGTTAAGCATGTGTGCTAAAAATGGTATCTGAAGTCTCTTCAAAGGGCCGTGTGCTTTATCACAATGAAGTAGATCCTTACCACTGACTGAATTAAATCCTACAGCCGTTGACAAAATGCAGGATTTAAAATGGAAGTTTGGCTGAGAGGAGCTTTTAAATTCGTAGTGACTTATGACGTGGCGCGCTCTGTCGGGGAGAGCCGTGCCTTTTTTTTTTTGCTCCGTAGAAATGTGCTGTGTTGGAAACTAGTCGACGGCATTACTAAGGAGTATTTGTTGCCATGGTGTAAATCGTTCCTCTCATTCACAACAAAATAATGCTGGAGTTGTGAGTTTGTTATTGGGTGCAGGGTATTTTCTCAGCTGGAACAAACCTGCATTCGTAGATAGATAGACAGATATGCACATGACTAAACTGATTTATAGATGGTGGGAGAGCATCAAATGCTGCAGAAAGAGGGGAGAGAAGTTCTGCATTACAGACACGAAGTTGCTGATGCACATAATGTTATACAACATTCCTGGTGAGTGGTCTTACTCCACAGATCTAATGTGGAAAGAGCAGGAGGTTCCTGCAACAGTAATTGGTGTGGACAAGAGTGCTGGTGTAGGGAAGGCTGACGGGACCTTAAATGATTCATGGTGTCGGGTTGGATATCTTTGAACGTTGAACCTTAGACCTACAGAACAGGCGAGGACACGGCTACATCCCGGCTCAGAAGGCAGGGAGGAAAATCACCTCCACGCTGCTCTGTTGTTGTGTTGTATAAGAGCTGAGCGGCTCGCCAGCGATCTAATGACAAGACTCAAGTCGGCGTTGTGGCTTAAGTGTGATCCCAGTGACTGTTTTTTTGGATTTTGAACAGTTTCTATGACTTGTTTGGTTTAATACACTGTTTGTTCTCCTCTTCTGTATCTGCACCTCTCTTCTCCTGCCCCCTTCTTCTCTCTTTTTCCAAGTGGTAAAGCCCGTGGTGCCCTTGTTGAGGCCCTGGTGGATGGAGATGGACATCATAGTGCTCGGAACGGTGGGCTGTGCCTCGGTCGTCTTCCTCCTCTCAGCCATCATCATCTGCTACAAGGCTATCAAGAGGTTAGATGTGACTCTTCTCTTCTCTATTCTGCTCTTCTAGTATTCCGGCTAGGTTCTCATTCAAAATACTGTAAAGTGGTGACAAATTGAGGTAAATATCTGTCACAGGCCAGCCACTCAGCATCTCTGGTGTAATTTGGCCCACGGGGGCATTGTACTCGCTCTCCTGCCATCGTGTTCGACGTGTGCAGGAGGCCACAGTGACCCTGTCATCACCCTCCTGGGTCACACCGAGGTCAGAGGTTAGATAATGGAGTGGGTTGTAAATGTCACCGATGAAGATCCGCTGCACCGAGTCACGCCGAGACATCCTATACTCTAAATTAATTTATTGAAGTGCATGATGACCTAACAATACTGCGCTGATTTTAATTTACATAAGTGTCTAAAGCTTCCTAGAGTGGCAGCTGGATTCATGAATGTGAAAGCAAGAGGCAAGCAGAGGAATCCCAAGACACTGCTGTTGCAGCATTTCCCCCATTTGGCTTATTAGAGAAAAGGCTGTGTGAGGTTTTAGCCTGCAGCACAACCAGACCCAATTCTCTTTGCGACATTCAGGCTGCACGGTGTCACATGCACTCTGACATCCACGTAAATGTTCGCAGACATTTAGCAAACGCACACTCACACGTTCGCATCGTGCAAAAGGATGCAGAGGACACTTGTGTGCATCCATCCATGAGCACACAACATCTTTGCATACATACATACATCATCTTGGCATATTTACACACTCGATAAAATATGGCATTAATGTGGACTCTCACACAACTATGTGAGAAGAGCCATGTGTGCTAAATTAGGCAGCTCCTTCTATGTTTTATTTATATGCATTTAAATAGATTTTGTATCATACCAAAATATATTTATGGAAGTATATTAAGCCTGCATGGCAGATATGGCTTTCCTCAGCAGAACTCTATTTCTCCTTTCTTTAAACAACAAATAGGCAAAGTCAGGCAGCGGAAGTAATGGGTGGTTGGCTCAGGAATTCATTATGGCAATTCTCCAGCCCCCTGTGTAGCCAAGGGGCACCTTTTTTAATGCAGCAGTGGTAGGAAAGTGTTGTTGCAATACGGGCTCTAGCCCCAAACCCAAGTCATTATTTATGAATTAATTTGCGCAGTCATTCAGTCGCAGGCCACATCTTTTATACATGCAAGCAGGTCGTGTCCTGAAGCTCTGTGGGCTCTAGACTGCAGACTTTGTGCCATGCCAAGCTGCCCTCCACTCTGAATGAGAAGGAGAAAATACACAGGTCCAGACTGGCCTCATTAGACATTCATTAGTCACCAGCCAGTAGGAGAGCGGTCCAGGGAAAAATGTGATTCCTTTAACATTCGTCATGGATGCTCTACTCATCCATCGCTCCTGAGAGGAAGGGAGGGAGAACAACAGAGTGAAAAGGACAGATAAAATGTGGCCAGCAAAGGCAGTAATTGAGCGTTTTAGTCAATAACAATGTGAGAAAGGGTTTGTCAGTGAGAAAAACACAGCCAGTTATATATAGTCCTTACAGCCCCTCAGTGCTTCGGGCTTTCCCAATGAAAATCAGCTGGCCGAGGGCCAGGGCCTGAGCACCACAGACAGTAGAGCAGCTAGCTCTGCAGGTCCCAGCCCTCCTGGCCTTTTGTTATTTTTTATAATCTCTGTCTGCCAGTCATCTGTCAGAAGCAAAGGGGACCGAGAAGAAAAAACACTTCCATACAATTCTATTCAGAGTCCACAGCACCAGGGAGGCTGGTGTGTGCAAGCATAAAGAAGAGGATTCAGACACACGCTGCGTTTCAGTGTTGCTGTGCCATCCGAAGCAAAAGACATGATGCTGCAGTCCAGGCTGTCAGCCGTCCAAGAAGCCAAAACAAATAAAACTCAAACCAACTGACTAATGAAGCTAGATGCTTTTCCCAATCACTTCCCGCTCTGGGAGGCTTGTCCAAAGACGGATAATACATCACAGCTGGTCCTGTCCAAGGCTAATGCAGGATGTCCAAAATACTCAACCGGAGACACGATTAAAAGGAAAAAAAACGCTCTAAAATGGTTTCAAATCCAAAACATATTGATACATTATTAATCTCCTCTGTTTTATTTTCAAAATTGCAGCCGCATCAAAACGGGTGACAGATTTTTACAGTCTGTTTTTAAATACTTTTTCTTTGAACCATAGCATGTTACTCTAATTTCCAGATGGCTGGAGTAATTGTAAACAGCCCAACACATGTCCCAATTTCGCCATGATCCATTCCCCAAACTTCAAACAGGAATGTGCGCTGTGATTGCACAGCTTTGATATGAAATATTCATCTAACCTGTGAAGTGTTGTGTTGCCACCTGCCATGTGTCAACAGCATGGCATCTATTATTGAAGGCCCGGGTAGAGGTCGGTTTGAGGCCCCAGCGCTCGGCCCTGTGTGGTGGCCCAGAGCGACATGGTCAGTCTGAGCGGAGATTACATCCTGGGAGAAATTAACTGGGCTGGAGCACCTTCCAGCAGGCTGTAGATCACCACTGTCACCGAGCATTTTACAGTGCAACACATGACCGATCACCTAAGTGGACAATGTGAGACCTGTTGCCATTACCTTCGTAGTTATGAAGTGCTTTAAAAATGAGTTAAGACAGAAATGCGACTGCAAACAGAACTATATTTATTCCCAGTGCTGGCTCCCCTGGACAGGCTGGGGATGTTAAATCTTTTTGCGTAATCATCGTAAGACCCCAGGGGCTCATGTCAGACTTCTGTTTATTGCTTTTCCATTAGCTTTTAACACTATCCAGCCGCATCTTCGAGGGAAAAGCATATGACTCATTTTAGTCCTAAATCAAAGTGGCTGGACTTCGTAACTAGCATGACGCAACGTGCGAAAAGAAATCAAATGTATTCCAAAGTGACACGCCACAGGGCTGCCCTCTGCTTTAAAGTTTGCACAGCAGTCAGAGTTTGTGTTCTGAATGTTTTCCTGGGGATGCGGTACTTGTTCATCTTTTACAGGGTCATGGTGCCATGTTTGAAAACCCTGTAACATGGTCTCATCAGTCATTCCTTCGTCATAATGGCACAACGACCAAACCTGAAACCATAATAAACCATCAGTTTAACATCCAACGGTAAATGGGGCGCCAAAGTCACTCTGGTAGACGGTTACCAACAGATAACATCCTGAGAGAGCCACACGTTTTTATAGGCGAGACAGTCGATCAATGGTGACGCTGTTTTATTGCCATTTTATTAAAGCTGGTTTATCTTCCTGCAGCGTGTTCTGGGAACCATCAGCCAGAATTCAGAGTTGAGTCAAGTTCAACTCGTCTACATTGTGTTATCCAGGTCATCCTTAGGTCACAGAGTTGCCTCCATCTAGGGACTAAAAAAGGGCTAAATCTTCCTTTGTTCTAGGCCTGTTAAAGTTTTATCATAATCTTTCTTAAGTGGACTCCAAAAATGTTCCAGGCTTTTAAAGATATAGAATCTGGGTCGGCTGGTCTGTGGGGAGATTCCTCCTCAGTCCTCCTACGGGGAAGGTATCAATTGTGTCTCTCATCTTCTCTGTGCTTTATAGTGTTCTGTGATTGATTGCTACTGTTTTTCTTTTCATTTTGTGAGACTGATCAACGAGCAGCTCACCACGTTTTCCCCCCTCGGGAGCAATAAAGATCGAGCCATTGATTGAAATCTCGACCCGTCAAAAAAAAAACATCCACAAGTTAAGATCACGAAGCGAACTGCCGTGACACCGCGTGACGTCAAACCAATATCGACCTCGCTGACTTTCTATTTTAAGTACCAGAATTCCCAGACTGGCTGGTAAACAGTGGCGTCCCTCAGAGAAAACTTTGGTATATCCCAAATCCCCGAGCTGCAGCTGCGTCGACCAAGCACCACCACCACCACCCCCACAGCAGAGTGTGTTTCCACCCCGGGGCTGGAGAGTTTCTTTTCTCAGGCTTTCCCCGGGTCCCACTGGGACACAGCAAGCAGCATCTGTCTTATATGGCCAGCATGTCTCCCTGGTGTGCTTAGCCATACGACCCCTTCCAGCTGACAACAAGCAGTCTGAGTCACACCCACGCATTTTGTTCAGAACTTTTTTCCAACTTGTGTGACCTCCAACAACCCCAAACCACGACTTAAGTGCTCGTAAAAGCACCTCAAGCTTTTATTTTGGTCAACAGTTGTTCAGAATGTCATACTTGGCCCTCAAAAATATTAATAATCAATGTAAGAGGAGAAATGTGTGTTGTATATCTATCTAACTTTAATTTGTATTAATATAACATATAGGAAGACTAAAAGTCCACGTCCAGGTTGCAGCGCTGTGAGGCTGCACTGCTCAAAGGGAAGCATCAGCATGTTAACGTGCTGACAGCGAGAATGCCAACATGCTGATGCTCGTGTTCATTAACCTAAATAGCATGCCGGCTGCTGACTTGATAGTGGCACTAGATTAAATGTTCAGGGATCGCCAAGGGCATCACTGTTCATCATGAGGTGGGACGTGTGTTTGCCGATTTTCTTGGCAATCCATCCAAAAAGATGCTGAGGCGTTTTACTTAAACTCACAAATTTCAAACTAATGGTGGCAAGACAGGGAAAAAAAACAGGAAAGTAGCGTTCATCTTCTTGGATTGGATCAATGACTGTTTTTTCAGAGCAATCTGTTTATCAGTCTGGACCAAAGTGGTGAAATTTCCATCCTTGTTGCTCGACTGAAAGCTGAAAATTACTGAGGAGACAGAATTTTTTTACCCTGTTGTGATTTTTCTTTTGACGAGTGGAAACCCTTTAAAGAGCATCCGGAGAGTGACTTTGGTGGCAGATGAAAGTTCTTTCTTGTGTACCCTCAACTGAAAAACTGGATGGAGTCAAGCTGAGCCGGATTGCAGGGGAGCGCTGATGAACGCAGGAGGTGGAGGGGCGGAGGTGGAGCTCGGCGCTGAAGTGACAGCAGAAAACAGCCCAAGACAGGAACAGTTTTAAAATCTGACAGCGCCAAGATGGCTGTTTTAACAGGTGTGGCGAAAATCTGATTAGCTGATCGGAAAAGACAGCTGGCGAATTGGGATGGCAGCAGGAGAATTATGAATAAACATTCAGTGAGCATGTGCAGGAGGAATTCCTGATTGAACATTTATCATAATGACAGACCGGCAAGAAATATTCCTATAAATATTGTCGGTATGCGAGGAGGAATCAAAATGTCTGATTGGCTTGTAAATTTTCCACGAGACACATTTTAAGACTTTCTAGCTGCTTATTTATAGGAGGCAAGAACCTATAATGCAATCAGGTGCTTTATTTATGCTGCAAGTTTCACCTGAGATCTTGTGAGAGATGTTGATTCAACTTAGTGAAAGAAACACCATCGCACCTTAGCTTCACAGTAACATCGATCTAAAACAGGCTAATATCAGCTCAGACAAGCTAGCCAAGAAAAACATTATAAAAACAAGAACAGAACAAAAATCCCTGAACTGGTTGTCCATCAATTGTTCCACTTGAAAAAATAACAAAAAATGTCCTCTTGGTTGTCAACAACAGGATAACGTTTCACAAACAGTATTTTTTTTTTCTAGTAGAGCAGTTTTTTGTTTTTTTTACATTATGGATTTTGCATTATGTCATGTAAGAGCTCATTTCACCCTGTAAGAACTCTGTGTCTGCACAATTCCCTCCCTGCACGATGCCCGAGAAAGGAAAAAGATTTGTGCTGGACCGGACTGAGCATGACTGTTCGTCAGAGTTGGGCCGGCTAGCCTGGGCTTTCAGAGGAGAGGAGAGGAGAGGAGAGGAGAGGAGAGGAGACACTGAACTAAGATGTCGCTCAAGGGTCCTCTGTGCCAGTGAAGGCACTGTACAGTGTTGAGTGGGACAATGACTGTACTAACTGTATTCAGATCTGTCTCTGAGTTACATAAGCCCGAGCAGGGGAGAGCAGCTGAGGGGGTCGGTGCACAAGCCACAGTACACTGGACAAATATAATAACCACAAAGGCATCAAGGAGTGCATGAAAAGGGCTGCATTGAATGATACTGCTCTTCACAGGCCAGCAGCAGCAGCAGCAGCAGCAGCAGCGGCAGCAGCAAAGGGATCACGGGTTGAAGCTTTATTTCTGCACCAGAACGGGCTCACAGTGTTGCAGCGCAACCAGTGTTGAGAAGGAATTTCACAGAAGGTTATGTATTGATGTTATTCCCAAACTGTTTTGACAGCCGCACATACTCATTACTTAGGGAGAAGATTGCATCTACCAGTCTGAGCAGGTAATTGCCTTATCCCCAGTGTTGAGATGTATCTTTCCCTGCTGTCTCCTTGCAAAATTGACCTTTTGAACATTGAGCTTATTAGAAAAGATCGCTGAGACCAGCATATCCACCCAGAGCAGCTCGAGAAATCAAATCAGTCTGAAGGTTAACACTGTAGAAACTCCGTTTAATGACGTGGCCTTTAGCTGAGGGGGAATGCAGCGCCAAATCTCTCCTGTCACGGAATTCATCCTCACTTTATGATAATGTTTATTCACAGGAAACCACTACGGAAAGAGGAGAACGGGACGAGTCGTGGGGAGTACGCCATGAGCATCCGTAACAAGAAGGCCATGGGTACGAACAACACTGTGGTATAGACTGTCTCCTGGTACACACAGGGAGTGACGTCACCATTATCTCTCACCTTGATCCCGAGTACAACAATCCCCTCTCACCCAGAATGCAACAGGGTTCCGCCCGAGGTTTTCAAATAGGTAAACCTTCCCTCTTTGCTTGGCATGTTGCCCGGACTGAAGACACCATTCAGCTCAAGGAGAGCTGGAAAAAAAAAAAGATGGAAGGAAAAAAAAAAAAAAAAAACACAAGTCAGAAAAGGACGGAGAGAAAGATCCACAAACCCCCATGGTGTCGAAAGTGGCACAGCAGGCTGAACATTATGCTCTTAGTAACAGCAAGTGTTGCTGACAGGCTGGTTGGCTGCTGGCTGGAGAGGGACTGTCTGCCAGTCTGCCGCAGATCCAGGCCTCACACACTGTTGACATCTGCAATGGAACAACAGACAATACAGCAGCCCTGCAGTCCCACGGGCGGCCGGACAGGACAGCCCATCACACACAACAAATAACATGCATGCCGTTTTTACAGAGAATGCAACATTTTTTATATTCCAATCCTCACACTGTCCATCTTTTGTTCTCCATTTTTGAGACAGATGCTCTGTGAGAGGCATGATGTGACTGCCGGTCCTGGCTTTGAGATGTGGATTCATCTGACTATGCAATTTAAAGAAATCCATATTAAAAAAGAAAAAACAACAAAAAATACGAGGAGCAGCGACATCAACATGGGACGTTTTGGTTATTTTACCATGCCAAAAAAGCCACTGAAGACTTAGGCTCAATGTAATATATATTTCAGTCATTCATGTATTGATTTGTTGTATTTATTTACTTACCTATCTTCGAATTTATTTTTCTACTTAAAAGAAAAGGACAGTCTTGTAAGTTATTCACATCTTTACAACTCTCCAACATCTTGATGAATTCATTTATTTCTTCATAGCTCTGTTTTCTAAGTGAATAATTTATAAACCATATAATTCATTTGTGATGCTCCGATGCTTTAAGCCTGCTGTCAGTTTGTTGAGACACTGATGCAGAAAACGTGCTTGCTCTGCAAAGAGTTTTGGTATCAGTTGTTTTGTCTCTGGGTGTTTGATATGCTTTTTTCTCTGTTTCCCTGAGACTTCAGCTAAAAAGTCAGGGGTCCCGATGATGTGCTATGTGAATGTGTGTTCTCCAAACATTATTTCTGTGCTGCATCATATTGCCAATTCCCCGTTTTTTCGATTCGTCGAGTCAATGCAAGCACCCCTACAAGCTAAACCTGCTATCACACAACTCATCCAGGTAAATCTCGTTGTTCCAGAGTCTTGGGGTCAGCTAGATGCCTTCAGCCATGTTTTGTCTGGATTTGACAATCTTCATTTTTCTATCTGTCAAGAAGGGCTTAGCCCATCGCTATAGAAACAGGGGACATGAGCCCAGAGCTGACCTTGTGACTGGTGACAGACAGGAGACTTAGCCAATAGCCAGAGATCAGGTTGCACACAGAGGATGGCCTCAGCAGGGATGTGTGTGACTCAGTGCTGTCACAGGCATCCTCCACATCCCCGCTGGAAAAACACAACTGAGCTGAACTGGAGCATCACTCAACGCTGCTCTGCTTTTTTACATTAAATCTGCGTGTGTCTGTGGGTGCATGCCGGTGTGTGTGTGCGTGTATGTGTGTGTGTGTGCGCATATGAGCGTGTGTGTGTCTGTCTGTGAGCATGCATGCAGATGAGTGTACTCAGTGAGAGTGGGCTGTACTCTGTGGCTGTCAGTTAAGTATAGATATTGGCTAAACTGTGGAAAATTGGAAGAAAAAAAAAGAAAAAGAAAAAAAAAAAAAACACATGCTTGCATTTAAACATGCACAGGTATTAGCTAACAGTATACCCCACCATGTACCTATATGAGAGAAATGATGGATGCATGAATGTAAATATTGATATTTAAATATCTGCCTTCTGGACTGTTAATTCATGTACAGTATAACAGAACATATGTTTATAAATAGTAAAAAAAAATTAAACAATGTGCTACCATTTAGAATTATGTCAATGTTGTCATGTTGATGGAGCAAGCCATTAATGTATATATGGCAATCAATAGTACATACACAATTTATGCATTATACCAAACAGATAAAAAGATGTGCATAAGTTGATTTCATTGCTGAGTTTTTCAGTTGTAAATAAAACTGTACATAACAACAGACCCACAGTCTAATGTGTTTGAAGAGCGGTAAAGGTGGTCAACGTGAGCCTGTTATATTTAGCCCGTGCCCATCTTGTTTGCTGTGTTTGTGCCACTCCTGTCTTGGGCAGAGCTGTGCCGGCTGGCCGTGTCTCCTGGGCCCCCCCACAGCGGAGGACATGTTCTCAGTCTGTCTCACACAGTGCATCTTTAATGAACTGCAATTACCAAGCGTATTCCACTCCGCGGGGCTTAATGACGCAAGCAAGACAACTTATAGGTCACATATTGTGCTGGCTCTGGGCTCGATCAATAACAGTGTCACCAGAAATCATGTGTGTGTGAAGGATTTCTGCAGCTCAAGCAAGAACACAAGTTGGCGCAACAAAACCAGGACTTTAAAGGAAGATTGAATAAAAAAAAAAAAAGATGGATTCAAGAGACTTCTAAGAGAGGCTACATTAAGTCACATAGGCGTGTTCCCATTTCTGTTTTAATTTGCGCTTCATACATTAGCTGTGGCCGATGATGTGAAACAAACAAGGGGGCCAAACCTGTGCTATACAGGCTGATGCAGAAGAGCACTGAAGAGGAATGTCAATGAATTATAATGTGAATGAGGGACCATAGAGCACTTTGCCTTCCCCTGCTTTAGATGTGGCACTTGACGGTAATGCCAATGGACACACTCTGAGCAATTTAAACATTCATGCATTGTCCAGCCTGGGCGCTGTGGATTCCACTGTAATAAAAGCAATGTGACAGCACGAGGCGGGGGTACCAGGGATTGTCACTGTCTCAACAAGTTTTACAAGCCTCTCAGAAGGTATTTCCACAAAGCAAAAGGGGAGCTGATATATTCTCTTCAAATTCTGGTTCTTGGAAGTTGTTGCCGTACAAAACTGCTGCCAGCGTGAGGCCGCGTCTGTCGAGCTGCTCTCTAATGACGGGACGCCACCGATGCACACACCTGGTGACACATCGTGAGCTTGCACAGTCCTTTCAAAGCTGACCTTCACAATCTTTGAGGACCCACTCACACCCTCTCTGCCTGAGAGGCCTTTGGTCAGTGTTAATTACCCTCAGTACCTCCAGCTGCCTGCTCATCAGGTCAGCGCTCCCATATGGTCCTGCAGGAGGCAGCAGGCGGGCAGGCAGGCAGGCAGGCAGGGGCGGGGAAAGTGCTGGATACCTGTGGGACACTGATTACATAAGCTGCTGCTAATGAGAGAGGTTCTTTGGAAAAGGGCTGCGAGTTCAAACGATCACAACGGTGGCAGTGGCTGACAGATGCAACCCCAGAGCAAGGGGGACTTGATTAAACACACACACACACACACACACACACAAACACACACAAACACAGCAATGCACATGCAGGCTCACATCCACATACACACCTGACTCCAGCATCACTTTAACACACACTGGCGCGCACACAGGCACACAGCAGGAGAGGGTCTCTTTGATGAGCCAAGACTAGAGGTTGATGAGAAGGGGCACTGCAGCCTGATTCAGCGAGCTTGAGGTCACCGGGGAGTGTGTGTGTGTGTGTGTGTGTGTGTGTGTGTGTGTGTGTGTGTGTGTGTCTGTGTGTGTGTTCATTAGTCACATTGTGTGATATCATTATACTAGTGACTCATTTGGCACACACCTCTCAACATGGGTCCTTTTAGACATGCAGTGACTGAAAAGTAATACTTAAAAAAAAAAATATGCAAATCAAATTTGGCTTATTTTTGTCCAATAAACTAATTTATCCTCGCAGAATACATTTATATCGTCAGATCTAATTCATCCTAAAGCTTGATAATGAAATCCTTGCAGCAGTGAAGATCAAAACAAAGATTAATGTGCTGTTCAGCTCTCTAGCCCTGCTGTCATGTCATCTGTTATTCTCAGACAAGAGCTTCGTGGTAATACAGTTAGACCTCACAACAATGCTTAATCACAACAAACCACATTAGGCCAAAGGTAATTGTGTTTGCTTGGTATATGCGTGGGCCAATCTGTTTCGCTGCTGCCAATGAAGAGAGGGATGGAGTGGGAGAGGGGGGTGGCTTTCCACTTTGGGGACAGGAGGGGGGCACAACCGAAATAGTCTTGTTTACCTCCAATGTCTGGCTCCACGTTATCGAGTTACAAAGCTGCTGCCGCAACTCAGATCGGCCTCTGATCGATCTGAGCTCCGATGGCTGAAGGCAGCATGACTGACAGTCCGACAAGGATCTCAGACGGGAGCTGGCTAATGCATGTCATGTCATTTTTCCCGTAGACACCTCAGGTTCAGTTTCTTGTCCAGAAGCGCAGGCAACAGAGCAGATTTTTATCACCCTGCCATCTGCATTATGGTAAACTGGACATTTTCCAAATCAGTCAGGACATCAAAGGGCAGTAAATGCCACATTTGAATTTTGAGGGCGTCGGCAATTCATGTGAAATGACAAACGTCTCGGAGTGTTTAGAAAAACTCGTACTTTTATTATCCAGCTTGCAACCAAGCAACTTAAAAAGTGAGAGGATATGAATTTCACAGAGTGAGCATATCGAAGATTCAACAAGCATTTGTTTTAAGACCCTCGCTGGGGTCTGTAGAAATTCTCTTCAGTCATCATCTGACTTCAAATCTGTTGAGTAACAACAGTGAGGCACCTGACACAATTATCCCACACAGACCTACCAAACCTTTTAATCACCACTTCCAGTGTTTGTACTTTAAAATAGCATAGATTTACTGTACATATACAGGTATTATACTAAAGGTGCTGAAAATTATTCAGTTTAAACAAATCCCACACAGCATCAGTCCTTTTTTTTTTTTTTGGTCTCAGGGTTCTGCCAGAGCAGATGCATGCAGGTCTAAGGACCCAGACGGCCCAGAGGCGACCACAGAACAGGTCACATGGGATAGAACTGTGAGGCAGCCTCGGACGACTGGATCTCCACCTGAGCCATCTTGAACTGGGTACACTGCAGCCATTTGCGCAGGGCGAATGGAGGGACGCCGGATGTCTGACCCTGCAGACACTGGCGGTTCACCCTGTTCTGGATGGCCTGGAGACGCAACTGGAGCCCCGCAGACAGATGCTGATGAAGGAAGGAGGAAAAGGCTGTTTCAGTCTGCATTCATCTAAAGAGTCGGCAGTTAGATGCAAATACAAACACAAAAGCCTTTTTTAAAGCCTTACCTTAAGGTTTGACTGAATCATGGGTAGCCACATCGGAATCAACTAAAAGAAAGAGTAAAGATGTGTGAGTATGAGGTGACATGTTACGGTGACCGTATATTGTCGATGCGTAAAGAAACTAAAGTCATAGCAAACCTTAACAAAGATAGTTGAGTTGCACTCCTGCAGAGCTTCCATCAAACTAATGACATGAAGACACACCATCTCCACCATCTGAGAGGAAAATACACATCCAACACAGTCACTGTTTCCTCATGATGTAACAAAAAACAGGCATTACTGAACAAACACACCGTATTACCATATTCCCTGTTTGAAAAGGATCCGGCAGAGGCACTCACCACTTTGTTGTGGGCCATGAGCTGCAGGATGCTGGGTGTAACCCGACTCCAGAACTCCAGTCCTGTGAGGATGGCGCTGGAGGAAAACTCTGTCTGGTTCTGGTTCTGCAGGGATGGAGCAGCAGCCGCCTGCTCACAGTAGATGGTCCACAGCTGGGCGAACATGAAGGCGTGGAACAGGGAGCACATGTGCAGCACCGACGTCTGGGGACAAAGATCAAGACCGAAACTGAAAAAGGTCGCCGTGCTGGTTACAGATGATATTAACAAAAACCTGGGTGTGACCGATGGAAGGGATTTGTGGGCGCCAGACCTTTGACTGCTCTGGGAAGCCAATGAGGATGACTATAAGATGATCTGCGATGTGGGAGCCGGCGTCTAGAGGGATGGGCATGCAGGAGGTGGAGCCCTGGTGCAGGGCACAATGTGTCAGGGAGCCCAGAAGAAGCCAGGACAGCTGACGAATGTGGGACACACATTCAATAAACTCTTTTGGCCTGCGGAGACAGAAAGTTGGAATTTGGTTTAACAAATCAGCTTGAAATTCAGTTTCTGCTATCCACACATCTCTCATTCTTACAAGATGTCGCTGTTTTTATGTTTTTTTTTCAATCCTTAAAAGTTTCAGTTCTATCAAGACCCCTAACCGTAACCTAAGACAAAGTGTAAAAACACAGCCTTCAAGATTCTACAGATTACCGTGTAAATGTATACTGTCTGTGATCTGTGCCTTTAGATCAATAAAACACCACTAAGCTCTCCTTCGTTTCGTCATCCTTACCCTTGTTGCATGGTGGATGGCGGATGATAAAGCCAGGGGAGATAACGGACCACAGCTTTGTTATCACGGTGATTGCCTTTGCTGATCTCCATGGCTGCGACTTGTGCCAAGCCCACTTTCAGGTTGCCTCCAAAAGTGTCTTCATGCAGAGGCTGACAGCAAGCCTTCATATGGCTCTGAGAAACCGATTTGGATTAGGGGAAAAAGACTCGATACATGATTGGATATTGTGGCAATCACACGACGAGCAAGACTTACTTTAAGTTTGGTTAGCGTGTGCATATCTGCAATGAAGTCCAGGAGCTCACTTATGTATTGCCTCATGCATTCCATTGCCGCTGTTGTGCACTGTTGAGAACAAAAGCAGTTTACCCTTTAGGAAGAATCACAGTTGGGTCTATCTTTATGTCCTGCTGTTTTATGATGCTGGTTTTAATAGGATCGCAACAAACAGCGATTTAAGTCTCACCCCCGGCAGCGTCGAGATCATGTGCTTTTGGATGATGGTGGATTCTGCTAGCCGCGTGCCGATATCTGCACAGACAAACTGGCAAAGCACACACAGGAAGTTTTAGAATCGTGATTTGGTGGTTTTTGTAAACTGGGATGTTGCATTTTTATTTTTTCTTACCTGGACCAGCAGTAACAAGTTTGTGTCAGGAAGAGGAGACTTGAACTTGAGAGCCTGCAGAAGCTCTAACACCACAATGCGGGACATGTAGAACTTATCTCTCTCCTGGATGCGAGGAGATAGAAAGTGGAGTAAATGTACTGATGCAGCAAGACTGCCTTTTTCTATTATCACTCTCCCTTACTCATGCTGCGAGGAGAGCATAAACTCCGTAGCTTGAATAGAGGGGGAAGGACAGGCAGCGAGAGAGAGGAGGGAGGGGAGCCAGGGAGACAGAGAATAGTGAAGCCGAGGAGTAGATTTAGGCCAGTCCAGATCTCTCCTCCCAGAGTCCCAGGCAGCTCAGATGAGGCTGTCAGGCTGCCTTCTCCCTCCCCGAGGACAGGCTGCTCTCTTTGTTCATCCCTTCCACACAAAGCCCAGCTGCCTGTTTACAAACCACACTGTCATCTTCTGGCTTCCAGTTTGCCTCTCTCTTTCTCTTTGCAGTCATGTTTGCTTATGTTCGGAGCGGGCACATGCTCTTCTGCTCATGCACAATGCAGGGCTTGCGTCTGACATTTCTCACGGCGTGGCTCGTTAATGCGCATACCTGTACGTGGCGCCCTCGTAATTAAAAGTTAATGGAGCATGTCGGTTTGGTAAATAGCAAAATCAGAAAGCTGTTCTTAAGCTACAGGGCCCAGCCACCACACAGTGCAGTGCAGCTGTGACAAATGGTGCATGGTGTGACAAAGTAGAGAGCCCGACTTCGTGTCCTTAAAAAAACTGACCTCCAAAGCTAAAGCGAACCGGCTGAAAAAAACCCTCCCAGAAACATCACCTCGCCATAAAAACAACTGCACCGGACAGGTTCCAACAGCAATTGCTCATCACAACTCCGGGTTTTGAAATGCGGATATTATAAGGTGAGGAATTAAAGAGGGTGAAGAAAATCAATACTGCAGGAGACATAAAGCATGCAGCGCTGACAGTGGTGGAAGACTGAGGCTCCATCTGGCCGAATAGTGCAGACAGGCCTGGCTCCATCTCTGTCTCCGCCAGCCGCTGAGAAACATACATCCTCGGCCCTAGCACACCAACTAATCATGTTAATCAATACTGGCTGATTGCCTACTTAATCATCCGTGACACATGGCCACATTTCTGGCTGACTGGAGAGACGGGGAAGTAGGTGTAGCACCAAAAAAAAAAAAAAAAAAGTGATGAGTGTGAGGCCAGCAAAGAGGAGATCAACATTTTTAACACTGCAGATTAGTTTAAAAGGTTTAACTCTTTCAAGGCTGCACAGGAACTCTCTGGGTTTTATGCAAAGCTTGTAAGTCAGGAGTACCTTGTTGAAGGCTTTGTAGCACAGTCCACAGAGCTCTACAAGGTAGGAGAGGCTGAACATGCCGTACTGGATGACGAAGCTCAGCAGCTTGGAGAAAGGCTCCAGGAGACTCTGCGGGATGGCGAGAGGAAAAAAGTTTAGATAATAAAGGCTGGAATTTGTAATGTAATATGGAAACATTCTGCTTTGAACTTACCCGAGTTGCATTTGTGGTTGGGATTTTCAGCAGACAAATGATAATCCTTAAACTGGAATCCATGGGGCACTAACGAGACACACATTGCAAAGAGAGATATCTCAACTGCCGGCGCGCTCTAAAGTGCAGAAGTTAAACATGATAGCACGGTGCATGGCCATATTCCCGGATTTGTGTTTTTTAAAATTTGTCTGCGGAGATAAATTGATTAGAGAGCACCCCTAATCTGACCTCCAAGGTTAAAAGCGTCAGAGTCAAACCAATTACAATTTTAAGACTCCGTCGTATTGAACCCGACAGGGGCACTGCTGGATGCTTTTTCCCTGAGCCATAATCACATTAAACCATATCAGGCCATGACTAAGTGAACGGAAGAGTTGATATCTACCTTCAGAGGAAGCACAGAGGGCAGTTTCGTGAGGAAGGTCTGGAACTGGTTGCAGATGGTCGTCCACAGGTTGCTAGGAGAGTCCATGGGGAGAGCCTCCATGAAGGTGGCGATGTTGTCCAGGCAGTGCAGCATTGTGCCCCCTGCTGGCAGGCTCTTTTTGTTGTTCAAGCCCTGGAGGGCACAGAGGCATAAACCATAACAGGGTTATATAATGAAATTCTATAAGCGACGATATTTCCATTTAACTGATCATTCAGTCCTGATCAATCACAGTGCTCATGATGGGAACAGGGGATCGGGGACACTGAAGTGCAGATGACTGCTCGGATGAGCTCAAGCATCAGCGGTCTGTGCTGCTTATTTGGCGTAACAGCAACAATAATCTGGTACAGTGGTGCAATGTGAGGCAGGTTTCTTGAAATGCACTGATGGTTTGTTGTTTTAGATGGGCTTCTGCTGAACATGTAGCTGGATGCACACGAGCTTTGGCTTTGACAAGAGCTCCTCCTGCTGGTGGAATGACTCAGCACACATACATGAAGCAACATCCCACCTCCAGCAGCATGTTGAGAGCAGCCACAGAACTCAGCTCATTGAAATCTATCAGCGAGGAGGCCAGCGTTCGCAGGAAACTTCCATCTGCAAAGAAAAGGGAAAGGGACATAAAGAAAAAAGAAGAAAGAGGCTGCACGCTTACAGTAAATAAAATGTGCATCTAGTGTTGGTTAGAAACCATAAACCTGATCGTAATAAGATCAGAACACAGACACGAGCAGCTAAGGCATGCTGTAAGTCTCTACAGAAATGCTGCATTTCACACATTACACGGATTTTGGAGTTATTCAAGCAGACCTTTGATGTTGCTCTGAAAGAGTTGGGGCAAGATGCCGTTAGGAGCCAGTTGGTGAAACATACAGCGCAGGAACTGCTTGGCTACACCTGCTACATTCCCTGGAATCAACATACTGCACAACATCACAGGGAGAATGTTAGACAGGCGGTCACACTTCACATATATATTATCAAACTCATGTATAGGCACAGTGAATATGTGGAGTAAAGGCTTTAATGTCCCGTACCTCTCAGCTTGTCCAGAAAAATTGGCACTAGATGCCAACCTGAAAGAAGTCAAAGCGGCGGATTAGGACTCGGAGATGAATTATGCATGAGCGCTAAGAGTGAGTTATGAAACTTCATTTAACGCTGAAGTGCTGTGTGGATGGAGATTGCAGGGACGGTTGCTGCTGTACCTGCCCACAGACTGCATGATGTCGAGGAGCATAGGGGCGGCCAAATCAGGACTGAGGTGGATGAACATGGAGAGGACTACAACGGCGAGGCCGAGGGTCTCCTCGTCGTACTCCTCCAGGACGGCCGCACAGTCCCGACACCTGGGAGGCCACGCAAAAACACACCAGGTCAGATTAGGCATTAGGATGATAGACGGGTTTAGTTAGAGGCTGATTTATTCACCGGTCGGACATGGTGGTCGGCTGCTCGTCTATGAACTCCTCGGGCGCAGGGACGAACATGCTGACTGTGCTTGGTGCTGAGAGAAGGCTGGTTTTTGTAGGACCTGGCAAGGAAGACGATCGGTTAGACAATAAACAACTGTCGCCACATGTACAGAACATATTTGTCTAAAATTTAGCCATAATGCAGCTATTCAAAATGTCTTTGTTAGCAACTATGGGGCATTTATCAGAACACTCCCTTTTGCTGGTTTGCTATTTATTCGTTATTTATTCATTTAATGCTCATTAAGTCTCTCTTTGTTTCCCCTCTACGTCGATGTATCTGCTCAACGGCTCTGTATGGAGCAGAGAGACGTGACTGACCCGTCTCCCACGTGCAGATGTTGTGCGGTGCGCTGGACTGGTGCTCCAGCTGTCTCTTCATGAGCTGACTCATGGTCAGAGCTCCCAGAGAGCCTCGTTTCACCTGACGGTACTGAGCTAAAGGGCAGACACAGAAAACAGGCTTAAGAGTCTGTTAAACTCGTTTCAGCGTTGGCAGCAGCGAGCGTGTGCACAGTTTCATGAAAATGGGGGAAGACAGGTGAGAAGAGATGGTGAGTGTCACTTATATCGTATCAGAACTCAAACATTCAGCCCAGTCCTCTGAGGAACGAAACTATTAGAACAAGAGTTTAGAGTGAAACTAATTAGGAAATGAATTAATAAAACATTAGATGGTGTTTTTTCCTCTGTGTTTTTTTAAGTTTTAGTGATCTCCTGGATAAGATGTGTGATATTTATGACATATTTCCAAAAAATCTGGTATAAAGGGGCTAAAAGTAGAGAAAAATGTAATGAAAAAAATGCATAAAATAAAGGCCTTTCTTATGAAAACCAAAAGAAAAACCCAATTCTGATGAAACTGGTGAGGAGATTGAGTAGCAAAGTATTCAGATCCTACTTGACACTGAAGAACGATGGCTCGTTTCAGGCATAGCAGCTTCGAGAGTTGGAGCTGACGCAGATTCTCGTGGCTTTTCCAAGGTAGACATAACTTTGTGATCTGCAAGGCAACGATGGGCATCAGAATATATGCCATCCTATGCCAGGACATTATTTATTATCCAACGATAATCATAAATAAAAATGGCCCCACAGGGGGGTTTACTATCAGAACAGCTACGGTGCATTTAGTGCTAATTTAAATGCAGCTCGTTATGTGAAGTTTAGTGCTTTGGTACATCGGTGTGATTCAGAAGAAAAAAGGGATGATATACAATAAAATCCTGCCCTGCTTTCTACCTATAAATTAGTTTAAAGTGTCCCCCCGTTTCACCTTTGACTCACTCGTAGCTGAAGTGTTTGTATAATGGAAAAAGTGAACACATGCACAACGGAGGACCGTACGAAGCTGGAGTGGTTAGAAGGGTAAAGAGCCGAGGGCGTAGAGCGCCCGCTGATAATGTAATGTTACTCTGATGGTAAAATAATGATAAGACTGAATCCATATATTCATACAGAAAGATGCAATACAGAGAAAAACAGGAGACAGAAAAAGGAACAAAACACGACCCAGTTCTCTGCTCAAGAAAACGCACCAAATGAAAAATGGGTCTAAAATCATTATCATTCATTATCCCCTTTTTTTTTTCTTTCGTTATTTTACAAATGAGTTGAATATTTAATTGTTTGCATTTGGGTTGCTGCTCCACAAAAACAACAAAAGGACTTAATAATCTTATTTTGCATTTCTGTGTCGTGCTCTGGCTGTGAAGTAATTTAACAGCCACCTCATTTGGGAGGCTTTGGAGATATATGTGAATATTACTCACAGCCGACGTATTCTTATTATTGTTGCTGTTCAGATTAAACAAAAGAGCCTCAAAATACCTTTTTGAGCGTGCCTCCCCAGCAATATTATAATAATGTTGTAGACAATATATTTCTATAGCATTTTTATTAAGGTCTATGAATTATGTGCTATATATAAAACACAGTGCGGTTGGGAGGCTGTAGACTCTCCTGGGTGCGTCCGAGCCGCAAGCACAAAACACACAAATGGAAAATTAGAATATTGAGTCACTTTTTTTGGATAATGAAAGTTTCACACCCATTTTTAATTTGATTCATTTTGATGGTGCGAAGTGAACAAAGAACTGCAAAGCCTCAGCACAGAGGGACGTGACATTTAGAAATAATAAAGAAAGAATTCAGGTAAAGTATAGTGAAAGTTTCAGATAAAATCAAGGTTGGAATGACGAGCTGACTCTTAAAAGTTGGGTTCACGGTCACACAAGTTTAGATTGTTCACTAAATGCAGCATCACGGTCAGCTTCAGTGAAGGACAGTTAATGTGAGAGAGTCAGAAAAACAAAACCATTCGTCAGGAACATAAACCGTGGCATGTTTTTGTGTACAGATTTGTAATTATTGGGCTATTATTCTCTGAGTTTAGTTAAAACTGATAAGATATGATGTTTTGACCACCCTGGTACAAAAAGTGATTTAGAGATTCCCTTAACTTGCTAAACTCCAAGTAGTTTCTGAGTGTTTTTACTTTTTTAAAAATCATTTTAGGTTCATTTTTCCTGCAATATAAAGTCCTACACTTCCAACAGGACCTTGGATATCTATTAAAGAGATTGAAAGTTGAATTTCTTGGATTATTTACGTTGCAAAAATTGAAGAACCTTGAATCAACTTGTCTAACATTGTTATATTAAAAATAAATGGAGGCTCCACATGCATTAACCGTTTACCTTTTTATAATCTCTACAAGCTAGACATTTATCAATCTGCTCTGCACTTCAACTCGAAGAAGGTATTTCACCGTGCTGACTCTTTGAACAACTTGCTCCTCCTCCTCCTATCTCTCAGCCATGCTGCATTAATTTTCTTTTTATTCTCTATTGTTGTCTCCTCTCTGTTCCTGTAGCTCACCTGAAAACTCAGTCTAGGATTTGTAGGAGCTCAGATTTGTTTTTTTTGTTTTTTACAGTCTGGTGCAAATCCTCAATTTTTTTGAATTTTTTGTTAAATGAGATGTGCAAAATGAAGTAATTTAGGCAAAATATCACAACTTGAAACTTAGATTCAGCTAATTTTCCCAAATGAACTGCACATTCCACATAATTAGTTCAGAGGTTGTTGGAAACTTGATAATATTTAGATTTTTCCTATTTTTGCATTTGCTGGGTCTAATAAATGATGTCATTTTGTTGATTTTTTAAAAGACGACGTACTTTTCAAACCTGCTGCTGAGTTTTGGGGTTTAGGGAACAACACAACTTCTGAGCAGCACAGGAGTAAAAGTGAAAATTTCCACGACAAACCAGCATAACCAGATCTCTAAAGAGGACCAATTTGTTCAACCTCTCCTGTAGGATGTCTTTCTGTCCGTCCTCCTTACCTGCCTCTGTGGTCGGCTCACCGCTCAGCTTGTCGAAGGTGTTGAACGAGATGTCCAGGTATTCTCTCTGGATGGCGCTCACAGCGATCTTCCTCTGCTTACGCTGTCTGGGAACGATTTGGATTTTGAACTCGGCTTCGTCGTTGTCGTCCGCGTTGTCATTTTTGGCGTCGCTGTCCGCTTCGTCGCCCATGTCGTCTTCCTCCTCGTCGTCTCCGTCCTCCTCTTCGTCGTTGCTGTTGTTGCTTTTCTCTGGCGAGGACAGAGGCTCTGCTCGGTCTTCCGGGATGTCCAGGAAGATAGTCCTGCCGGAGGGACTCGTTCCGGGTCCCATCCCAATCCTCACCTCTTCAGGTGTCACATATGTGTCGTCTAGCGAGGTGTCAGGGACGTGCGGGGTTTTCCTCAGCAGGTCTCTCTTCTGCTTCAGGGTCATCGGACTTTCGTGGCAGATGTTCTCCGGTCGGTCGGGGAGCTCCAGAGAGGTGCTGTGAGTCACCCGGTCAAACTTCTTTTCCATCAATGCTTTGTGAGACCCCTTCTCTCCCTCCAGAAGGTCAGAGGTCTTCTTGTCGCTGGAACAGTCCTCAACACTCACCTGAACCACTGGAGACAATCGCAAAGTGTTGCTGCTCGCAGGCGAAGCTGAGATCTTCGGACTGCCGTTGAATTTGGAGCCGATGATGGTGTTGAGGTCGAACTCCTCGTCGCTCTCCACGATCCTCAGAGGAGGCAGCGGTTCGAACACCAAGGAGTCGCTGTCGGACATGGAGAGCAGCGAGTGTTTCTCTGGTATGGAGGTGCAGTCGGAGGAGAGGTCAATGAGGTCTTGGTCGTCCTTCCCCTGCGTGGATCCGCCGAAAGACCCCTGATCCTGTTTGTCCTCGAAGGTCTCCATGCAGCTGAGGCGGACTTCTGGGATGACAGGCTTGGAGATGTCGGACTGCCCGCCTCGAGAGCCCCGCCGGTCCACCGGATCGATGCCCTCCACCCGAAAGGAAGAGCCATCGGAGGATCCTTTAATGTGATGCCTGCTGTGGGATGTGGCCGAGGACGGAGGCAGGACCACGGGGGGGGCCTGCAGGTCACAGCGGTCGATGCAGGACTTACGCCGATGCTCGTCCAGGCTGAAAAGGATGGAGTCTGTGTTGGAAATGTCCAGGGACTTCTGCTTGTGCATGGCCTGTAGCCGTTTTTTCCTGGTGCTCTCCTCCCTCACACAGTGCAGGATGCTGTCCTGAAGGGCGCTGGCTTCTCGGTACTCTGACAGCTCAATTTCACCTGATACACAGAAGCAAAACGAGCGTTTACTGCAGTGAAAGCAACACGCCTCCTGCAATCACGAAAACGTTCTGCTGGGGGAAAAAAAGATTCAATCACTTGATTTTGAAAGCCTCTGCTTCTTACTTTTCTTGGCATTCAGCTCCACCGGCTGGTACTTCACAGACTTGCTGCCGCCGATCCTCTTCAGGCGGGCAAAGAAGGTCTGTGACTCCTTGTTAGCGGCACCCGTCGGCGTGTCATGGACGTCTGACTCATCGAACACACTGTCCTCTTCTAATATGGAGAAAAAATATGGAAAATTAACATCAGCTCCGCATTCATGGAGCACTTCCATCCTGTTTTGCTATTATGATCAATAAAATATATAAATGAAACAGCAATTTAGCTTCTTCCAAAATGCAATCCTCATTTATACGAACAAATTGCAGCACATACTTCACAACAAATATAGCAGATAGTTAGTCTCAGCGACCGTTTTAATGGAGCATCTCAGGATTATTGCACTCACTGAGTATATATGAGCATCTTTACTTATTTGTTGCCATTATAGAAGCCTGCTGTTGAGATAAACAACATTTCTCTTCACCTTTTTCTTTCTCGCTGTAGCGGCTCATGTTGGAGTTGTCGCTGTACAGCGGTCCTGCTGTGGCGTGGGGTCGACAGCTGTGGTACTGCGCATTCAGTGTGTTGATGGTGATGTGGATCAGATGGAGCACCACTTTACTGCCATCCATGTCTCTATAAGGGTACTATAGGGCAGAAAAAATGGAAATATATACGATAAGATATGATAAGAAATATGTCACAGTAAGATTTAGATTTAGAGGTAATGTTATCCTGAAAGCCGAGTGACTAATCATTCCTCTAATTAAATCCCTTGCTAGTAATATTAAAGTACCTTATAGAGGATGACTAGCAGAGCTTTGAGCCACATCTGCCGGATGTGTGGCCTCAGGGCCCACAGGGAGCAACGGGGCGGCTGCTGAAAATAGTGCCTCAACTGGGGACACGTGCAGTACTTCAACACCTGGACCACCAGGGGGAGCAGCTGCTTCCCTAAACCGATGTTGTAGTCCATCACCTGGAGGAAACAACAGTTAAATTCAGGTATAATGTGCTGCTACACTCCCTCACCACAAACCATCCATCATGTCTACACCTTAATCCTCACTGGGGTCATGGGGGGCTGGAGTCTATCCCAACTGACTCAGGGCGAAGGCAGGTTCACCTGGACAGGTAACCAGTCTATCACAGGGCTGCACTTAGAGACAGACAACCAAGCACACTCACATTCACACCTACCGACAATTTACAATCACCAATTAACCTCAGCATGTTTGTGGGAGGAAGCCGGAGAACCCGGAGAGAACCCACGCTGCACAGGGAGAACATGGAGACTCCACACAGAAAGATCCCGGGTGTCCTCACCAGGATGCAAACCGGTGACCTTCCAGCTGCGAGGCGACAGTGCTAACCACTGAGCCACCGTGCAAACATATGCAGCAAAAACAAGATCCCACGTGAGTCACCTGTGCGATGCCGGCGATGAAGGCGTTGAAGCAGGTGGAGGTGCGCATCTTCTGCGGCGCGATCATGAAGCAGCCCTCCTGCTGGTCGTAACCCAGCAGCACGTACAGGTGGCGCTTCACCGTGTTGAAAGCTTTGGCGCTGCCGATGTCGGCCTCGGCGCTGCTCTGGTCTTTGGCCATGAACTTCATGAGCACCATGATGAGCTGGTGAACCGTCTGGTGGTCGATGCCGGCGTCCTCGGGGAGCAGGTCCCTGATGATGGTGTCGTCCTCGGGGGAAGGGGTCTGGCCTGCAAGAGGGGCTGAAGCGTCAGGGTTAAAGTTCGGGAGGAAACGCGCTGCAGACAGGGGGAAGAAGATGGGGAAGGAAAATGGGGGAGAGAGCAGCAGCAGAGAGAGAAGAGGAGGGGGTGACAGCACAGAGGGGTGGGGGAGTCAGCCGTCCACTTCTCTGTCCGGAGAGGTGGGAGACATCATCATGCAGTAAACAGGGAAATGCTTTAATGGAACGTGTAAATGGGGTAAACACAAATAGACACGACCTGCTAGCTGCTAGAAAAGTGTCATTCTTTCCAAATCAGTTTGACAAAAAAGCACTGACTGTTGTGTTTGTTTTTATCATTGTTAGTCTTACTGCTAGTCGTACTGTACGTTTCCTCCCATGTGATGTGATCATGAAGAGTCATACTGCATGTTTCAGACCTGGATTGTTATTTACCTGGCAGGACTTTCTCTATCATATCTCCCAGTGTCGGGGCAGAGTGCTCTTGCCTCGAAAGCCTTAGAGCTAAAAACCACATATGAAGAACACAATTTAGGAGAGGGCAGAGGTGAGGTGGCACAGGACACATGTCTGAGCTTCGTGATCACACAAACATACATACACACAAAAAAAACACACTATCAGGCCTCAAAACAGCATGAAATCCAGGTGTTATCATGATTTAGGGTCAAATCTCCAAAACCCCATCATGGTTCAAGGCCGAGACAAGCAACTTGTCCCAGAAACTCAGACAGCCTTCTGTGCGGAGACAGAGATAAAGTGAATGACATGACAGGGACTTCCTCCTTTTTACACAAAGCAGTAGTTAGACATTTAGGTCAAATGAGTGTCGAGAACAGACAAGTGAGGAGAGAAACATTAGGAAAATGGAACCAGACGTTGGTCAAATAGTATTTGCAAAAAGAAAAAGGGGTTTATCTCGTCCACAAGGAGCTCAAATTAGGCAGCATGTTCTGACATAAAAGACAACTCCAGGTGGTTTTCCAAAAAAAGGGGGCTTTAATTTGACTTTGGGACACGTGAATGGGTCTTCTCTGTTCTGTACATATGAGGCACTTATTTGCAAGCAGTATTTGACCACTGATCGAATGAGCGGCTTAGATTCAGACTGGCTGATCTCTGCTACTCACGAAGTCGGTTGCTCAGCGACTCGGGGAGTGAAAACGCCCGTTTAGACTCTGACGGATCTCCCTTCACGCTGTCACGGAGGGATCGAACACTCTTCTGCCGATTCCTGGCAAACCGGGCCCGTCGTATCTTCCACATGGCCGCATCACTGAGGTTAGCTACGTTGGTCCGTACGGCTGTGATTGCTGCCAAAAAAAAAGAGATTTACAAGCTTAATTTGCTTGCTTCTCTTGTTGCAGGTGTGAAAACGTGAACGGGGACATGGCAGCTACTACGTACTAGTTGGGAAAGGAAACTCCTTGTTGCAGTCCAGGTGTAACTGAGCCTCCAGAGATAATGTTTCAAAGCGGTTGACGAAGAACTCCCAGCTCAGAGCAGGAATGTCTTTCTTCAGAAAGTGCAGCAGCAGGAGTTTGCTGAGGATGACGGGCCGATCCCTCACCACGGTGTCGAACTGGAAATCCAGACACAGACACAAGCCCTGCAAGATGCACACAAACAGAAGTACACAGCGTGACGTGATAGCACATAACTTTCTGCAATATAAGATAAGATGAGCCTTTATTAGCCTGTGCAATATGTTACATGTATCTGTGTACTGTGTGCTGAATTTGAATGCTGATTTGATTTGATTTGAATTTTGAATGCTGTTGTTTTGTTGCTGATTTTATGTTGGTGTTGTGTTGTTTTTTGGTGTAGCAATTTCCCTGAGGTCTTGTACCGAAGGGATTAATGAAGTTTTTTCTAATTCTAATTCTATTAATCCCACAGTGGGTAAATTTGCATTGTTTCAGCAGCAAAGATAGTGCATGTATTTAGGAAATGTAATATAAAAATAGAAATAAATAACATTATTGCGCAGATTCTTTCATGAATGAAAAAATTGCACAGATTATTATTCATATTTCACTGATATTATGTCAGTAGAAAAACATTTTTGCAATTAAAGTAGAGACCATCTTTGCTGCCAGTGGATTCTGGATTTGCTTTTAATCTCACAGGTTTGTGCTACAAATCAAATCCAGTTTATTGTCATGTTGCTGTACATCCACAGCAGTACAGGCAAGATGAGGGAGTGTTTCTTCAGGATCCAGTCACTTAAAGCAATTTAAATAAAGACATGTTTGCATATCAGGATCAGCAGTTCAGCATTCTGACAGCTGGTGGCATGAAGCTGTTGATCAGTCTGGAGGTTCTTCCTTTAACGTTTACCTGATGTTTCAATAAGACGTAGTTTCACAGACAAAGCCAAAGTCTATTGTTATATTCAAGATATTCACTCCTACTGAGGACAAAAATGTCTGTGCTCCTTCTGTAAACCCGTCAATAACAAACATTTTGTCACACACATGACAGTAAACACACCAGCTGTAGCTTCTTTAAGATCCCACAACGGCTTCTGCGCCCACGTCTCCTACATGTGACTAATCTGTGCAGCTGTGTGTGTGTGCGGTTCACCTGCAGGGCCGGCCTCTTGATGGTGTCCAGCAGCAGCCTCGCCCTGGTGGCCACGGCCGGGTTCACGTCCTCCACGGACGCCAGGAAGCAGCAGAAGGCGTGGGCCAGGGCGTATTTCAGCAAGTGGTTTTTTGTCACCGCGCCGATGTCCAGGAACCGACACAGCACCGCTACCTTCTCGACTGGGAGGATTTCACGAGAATAAGGAGCGAAAATGAATCATCGGCAGCGACACAGAGAGAAAACAAGTACGAACAAGAGGCAACCGAGCTGCCAGATGTCCTGATATAATTATCATGATTTAATAAACAGAACCAGGCATGAGGTCATAGATGAGGATCATTAAGATAAGGTCATGCATTACTTGGCTGCTGTCTATGCCAACATGACTGTCCTTGTGTAATGCATTTGTTTAATAATGTGCATTTCGTTTGTTAAGATGAAACCACATAACATCTGTTCTGTGTGTCATTCAACAACAGATTTAAAAACATGAAGATTACTTCTGTGAATCTAAATGTAATACTCGGACTCACAGAAGCAAAAATGCGTCTTAGCTTCTATCGTTGAACATTTACAAGTTATTGTCTTCACCAGATTACATTTGCAGACACATGCTGCCAACACAATGTCCAACATCCTCTTTGCCAATGAGCCATAAAATCACAATGCAAAAAGACCCTCTCAGTAATTGGTGGATTTATTTATCATGACTCAGATTAGACTCTAAAAATAGAGGCTTTATTTGGAAATCCATAAACCCTCACCCACTCTGGGCTGATGGGTAGCAGCCGGTGCTGACCGCTAGGTGTCAGTGTTGGAGAGAGTGTGCGACTGTGCAAGTGAGTGCTTTTTGGTTTCATTAAATTAGATTATTTTGTATGATTTGTGCCCATTTTTCTGCAAACGTGTGCTTCAACACTAAAAGTAAATTTGAGTATAAACATTAGAAGTGCTCATAGTCGTGACACAGATCACACTGACATTGTGACGAATCGTTTTACTGAACGGAAAGACCAAAAACCTGAGTTTATTTTAGGATTTCTTTCTATACACAGTAGGATATTAAGTTTACACCCTATTAAAAATATTTACAGGGTATCTAAGGCTTCTGTGATGTCATTTCTCGGCCGAGTCTTATATCCATAAATCAAGTCAGAGGACGCGTCCTCTGCTTCCGTCTCAAGGTCGCACCGCTCCTCTCTGCCAATCACAAGGCGAGAAAAACCTTATTAATCCCACAACTCCTCTTTGCCGCCTGTTTGAGCCACACGGTAACCATGGCAACACAAGGGGGAGATGTGGGCAGGCAGGCAGCGGTTTAGGAAGCTTATTATATAAGCAGGACGGGGGGGCTCTCCCTGTACCGGCTCACTCATTTACGACACAAAGACAAATTATTTAAAAAATCAAATCAAATCATACGTCGGATACACAATCTAACTAATTTTGCTCCATCTCACCAGCTTCGAATCGTATTTTCCAGTCTTTGCTGTTGAAGTTTGTGTTGATGAGGTTCCAGAAGATGTCTGCCCCGTGGGACAGAGACAAGGCATGGAGAAGCTGAGGCACAGCCAGGGAGGCCAGCTGGCAAAACTCTGACTTCAACATCGACCACAGGCTGAAACAACAACAACAACAACAACAACGACACAACAGACTCAGAAGGAGCTGGCGACATCAGCAAACAAACATTCCCCTAAATATGTTCCCTTTCTCTGCGTGAGGAGAGTTGACTGCACGCACCTCGGGATGAGCATCTTCTCCTGGATGTAGGCCAGGAACTGGGGGTGATCCTTACGGGCGAGGTATAAACACTCTCCGTGGAGACACAGGATCTTCAGGCAGTTCAGCATGTTGAACAAGATGTCAGGCTCCTCAAACTTGGACATTTCCTGACAATGCAGAGGAGATGCGTGACTCACAGGGTGCCACATGTACACTCCGATAAATCACAAGAAACATTTTTAAACGCCTCTGGTGTATTCGTGCCTCGGTTTTAAATCTGGGAAAGACAAAAAATATGCCAGAAAATGAAAGTGCAGCCCTTCTGTTGCAGCTTTACCCGCTCTGTCCTCAGTCTTAGTCAAACCCCAGTTTTGTTTTTTAAATGAAAGTCCTCTGGTTAACCTGTTCAGCCACCAACACCTATTATCTTTGATGTTCTTTATATTATCTCACCTGATCTGGGGTGAAAAAAACCCTGATTGGCTAAAGTCTCCTGCCTAGATTTTCTAAAACGAGCCAAGAGGAGGTGCAGGAGTCTTAAAGATTATTATGGATTTTTTTTTATCATCCTAATGAACCCCCCTATAGATGCCTACCTCAGCTTAATATTCAGTTATTTAGAACAAATACCTGCAGGATGGTGTATATGAGCTGTAAAGACACAGGGAGCTGCTGGTAGGAGAACTTCTTATCAGAGTTATTCTTCATGGCTGGAAGGAAGAAAATTATAGAGTTATTTTGAGCTTTGTCAGAGCACGTAGCATAAAGAGTGGAAATAAATGGGAAAAAAAACTATTCTGGCACTACAGTATCTCACTAATTAAAAGACAATTTTTTCATTTTCTAGGGGTTTATGTGCCTGATTACTTCATTGCTGTGATTAGTGTCAAACTGCTCCTCTGATTAACTCCAAGCAAGAAACAGAATACGTGTATTTTTCTGTAAATATTCACCTGACCTGTAAACAGTGAGGTTCATTTATCTATTTACCTCAGCTAAAGCACATAGGCATACTTCCTAAAATGTCCAAGCATCCCTTTAAGGAGTCTTCATGACAGGGAAGGTCACATAAAATCATGTGTGTAATTCAAAATCAAACAGAAGTGAAACACACATGCGTTATCAGGAGACGGGTTTTCGGTGGGGTTGTCAGTTTGCGTGCCGCTCGGGTTGTCTCCTTCCTCACTTCCATTCTCCGTCCCGAGGGAGAAATCTGGTGGAGGAGCGATCAAGGTTTCCTCCAAAGTGTCTGTGGGCTCCTGCACAGCAAAAATAAACATCAGTAATACTGCTAAAGCTTTATTTTACTTGGTAAGTCTTTTTAGAATTGCTTGCAAAGAGAGACAGAGTTTGGGATTCTGTATGTTTTCTGAAACTACGACAACAGTGACACACAGTGGTGTTTTTGGCACTGTGTGATGTGGAGGAGACCTGCTTAATGCACAGGGTTAATTTATATTTAGTGCATAAAACTGCACGCTGTGAGTCTTACCACCAGGCGTATCTCTTCTCGGGGGGTCAGCCTCTCCAGGAGCTCACAGCCCAGCTGGTAGCACAGGATGCTGGATTGGCACAGGCTGCACTCTAGGGCCTTCTCATCCTTCTGGCAGGTGTGCGAGCCCCCCCACGGGGCCTGAAAGACGTTGTTGATGATGCCCACGATATCCTTCCCCAGGCTGCTGTCTAGACCCAGCATCACACCGTCATCCTGGAGCTCCATCTGGGACAGCGGAGGGAGAAGAACGTAAAAACAGAGGAGCAAAAAGTAGAGCACGACGCACAAATCTCCAGATCCCACCTGTGGGCTTTATTGTCATTGCATTGTGTGTGTGTGTGTCACTTTTCTCCATATGAATTAACAAGACTTGCTTTAAATTATCATGTACGTTCTAACAGTAGTGGTGTTGTGTTTGTATTGAAATGTTTTCCCTCCCGTACTAATCGTCACCTGCTTTAGGATGAGGTCAAACATGAGGATGAAGCAGCCGAGGTTCATGTCGTCGTCGTCACAGTCCAGATCCAGGGCGCAGTGGCCGGTGGCGTGGCCCAGGTTTTTAAAAGGGCTGCAGCGCAGGGGGCTGCGGAACGGGCTCCTGAAGGGGCTGGGGAAGGGGCTGAGGGTGTTGTGCTGCCCACGGCGTCCAGGGTCTGACACCACACTCACCTTTAAGGAGAGAGAACATCACGACGTAAACTAAAAATACGTGTCTCACCTTAAGACAACAAAGCTTTTAGCAAAGCAGTTAATATGGCTCAAGTGCGGAGTTGCGAGGCTATAAATCTCACTGATAAATCCACATCACAGTCAAGTTCAATTAAGCTCTTTTATGAGGGCTATATTTAGATATTGGCAGTTACCATGGCAACGTATCCCAATGAATAGCAGAAAATAGACGAAGAGTGGGAATGTGTACACACGAATCCCAAACAGGCATCTGACAGAACACCAAGCACAAAATATGACCCAAAGGTGTGATCACATCTATTTAGGTGATGATGTGAGCACAGTGAGGCGTCGCTTTCTGCAGGGAATACACTCCATTTCCTTGCTTGCTGCAAATGAGAGCTAAGAATGATATGGGTTTTTTTTTTTTAAATGAGAACGGCTCTGTCATATCGTTTATTCTCTGTGACTACTTTTGGCATCGTGGTCGTCCTCACCCTGCGAGCGCCAGTGTTGCCTGTCAAATCTGAAGCGCGAGCCTTTCTCTGATTGGCCAGTTCCTTCAGAGAGTTCACTCCGTCCGAGAACATCCCAATCAGCAGCTGAAGAGGCACCACGATGTCCAGCTCTGACAGCACCTGCGTCCCAACAACACACACACACAAAAATATAAAGAATCCACTCACAATAAATCTGCTACTTACAGTTCAATGCACGTGAATTTGTTTTTTTTAAACTAGTGGAGGTAGTTAAATCACCTCTTATCTATTGATGGATATGTTGAAATCGATGGCTAATAATACAAAAAGCAACATGCAAGGCTAGCTATCAGCAAAGATGTCAAGTAGAAGCAAGTTTTTCTGTGATTTCGGTGAAGTGGCAGCACAGTGACACAATCTAAACATGTTGCCTACATGATAATAACACAACACATGCAGGAGGATGTGGAACTCGGCACCACTTCTCTGTCTGATGTGAGTATGACCTATTTACGGAGGCTAAATGAATGCAATCTCTTGATCACAGTTGTGACAGAAAACTTGAAATTGATCCATGTATACAGGGCAGCAAGCTGTGAGTGCATATGGGATGAAAGGCAAACTCCTTCATATCTCTTTCAGTCTCATTCTGTGACCCAGATCCATATTCAGCAGGGCCCCTGCCCAGACTCTCACACTCTATGACAACCTGTTCAATTCACACTCACTGTGGACAGAACCGCAGGACGCTGTGTTTTTGTGTGTGCGTGCGTTCTTACATGCAGCCACAGCAGAGCCTGCTCCTGCACCGACGCCGGGTAGCCGGAGAATCTGCAGCTGATGAAGCCGAACATTTCCTCCATAGAGAAGGGCAGCGGGCACAGCTCGATATCAAACATCTTACTGTAGGAAGGGAGCAGAATAAGAGGTGTGTGTGAACGGATTCAGGCAAAAATACATCTTCTGATACTGTTACACAATCAGAGATGTTCAGTTTACTCCTTCTATTTCTAATGCTGTGTTGTCGTGGTGCAGATTTACTGTCCTGACACTGCCTCTGCTCTATTTGTTCTTCGATTGATGGTCTCATTTATGCGTATATTTTCCAGAATGATGCACGGATGGAAGACCAACAGTAGCATGAAACTTTAAACACTTGATATGGAGTCTGTGGTTAATGACTTAAGCTTGGAACAAGGGCTTTTAATTTAATGTCACACTTCCTTCCTCGCTCCTGTTTGTTCTGTTTGCGCCGCTCATTACATGCGGCTATGTAAACAGTCCGAGGAGATGGATGTACCTGAGCACTTCCCGGAACTCTTTGAGCTGGTTGTCGGGCACCTCGGTGCGAATGGCCTCGAGCCACTCAGGCATGAAACACTCCCACAGTGGCTGACTGATGACATTGTAAGGAATCAGACACAGGATCCGGTTCAGGCCCTCCTTCAGCTGTGTCACCGTGCTACATGATTTGTCCCAGTAACCTCCCACCTGAGGAAAAGTGGCCTGGATTAGATCATATGTCCTGAAAAATTCTAATTAACCTGAAATCCTGGTTCCATGTCATTTTATTCATAGCTGTTGCACAATGCAACAGGCATTAAGATGTAACGATGTCACCCTGATGAATGTCATGTCTCTCATACTTTAATGCTGAGGTAACCTGGGTGTTAACCTTACCCTGGCGAACTCTACAGGTTTAGGCAGCAGACACATGACCATGACATCAAAGCGCACTTCACACACTGTCTTCAGCCACTTTGTGACAAACTGAGGCTTCAGCTTCTCCACCAGACTTCCAACTTCATCATCCATCATGTAGGCGGTGGAGTGAAACCACTGGAAGACCATGCTGACCAGCCGGGCCAGACTCTCTGTGGGCGTGTTCTCATTGGGGGTGCACAGGCTCACCTGCGAGCAAGAACAAAGCAACTTTCAGCAGAGCAGCGATAAGAGGGCCACGTACTGCACACAGTCTTATCGCTCCGCTCTCCTGTTATTGACAGACGCGGCACCAGATTGTGATTACACACCAGGAACCAGATGCCAAACTGACTGAGGAGGCGCTGGTCGTGCTGGTCGTCCTCCTTGTTATCAAACTCGATGTTGTCCAGAGAGTGGTGGGAGGCAGACAGGCCCATCTGACGACGCCTGTTCAGCTCAAACTCACGCTGCTCTGCATGTATTTCCGCCTCCTTCAGAAGGCTGCTCGGATATAGAGGGGATGAGAGGGATAAGCGAGGATACACAGCGACATAACAGCGGCATATTGTGCGAGAGAAATAGAGATTACACCACATAAAAATCTAAATCCAAATCGGTGCCGTATTGTTGCCTATGCACGGCGCTGGTGTTGACGTGTGCTTTGAAGAACCGCAGCCATATGCCGGGTGTCTGCGGCTGCGTGGATCTACCTTATCACGGCTTCCACGGTGCACACCAGCTCCTCCGCTCCACACTCCCGGGTGTTGATGGGAGGGGGCGAGGTCTGGTACAGATGGGTCTCCGCCGCAGCCCCCACCTCGCTGCTGTGGTGGTTGACATGGCAACGCTTGCAGTAGCGGACAGGCCGGTTGCCATGGCGCCCGCAGCAGCCAGCTGAGAAGCAGGTGACCACAGCCCTTCTTACATGAGAGCTACAGTTCTACAGCACCAAGGCAAGAAACGAAGGGAGAAGGAGGAGGAGGAGGAGGAGGAGGAGGAGAAATCAGTTTGTTTCTATTCTCGGATGCAGGCAAATAAAAACATGCAACAAATACAGCGAATCAGCCAATAACGCCAGATGACAAGCCTCTAAAAATACACCTATATCCAAGCTTCCAAAGCAACAAACTGCTCCGACAATGAATATCGCCCTCTGCAATATGCATTTGTTTGGAGATGATGATCTGTCCACATGTACAGCGATAGACAAAGTCTTTACGTGTCCCCACGGTGTCTCAGGTTTCTAAAAATAAAAAGCATGGCACTAGAGAGCCATCCTAATCTGATCAGCCTCTAATCTTGTGCCATTAGAGGGATGCATTGCCCCCCTATCAAATTAACATATCTGTCCTCTGACGGAGAGCTCTCTCATTCACCCACTTCGCTTTCAACAACACACAAAAAAACACAACGCCACTCTGATGCCACTGATGTTTTTTTTACAGTTCGCCCTATCTTGGGTATCATGGTGTATTTATAAGTAGCTATTCTCAGATGAAAAGTGATGTTAATAATGGCAGAGCTGGGGTAAATCCAGGTGGCAGTTTAAAGAGCTTTCTGCAACGACTGTGACAAAGCCGGTTCGGAAAGGTGGGGGGTTGTGGATTATAAACCGCCGGACAAACGGGGATGAAGGCCAGCTGTTTGGATGGACAACCCTGGGCGGCTGCTCGGCCTGACGGGAATACCTGAGATCATCCGGCTCTCAGTTTTCCCAGTGTCTCCCTGGAAACCAGCGGGGAGCACTTGCGCCCTTAGCTGTGCGTTCAGCAACAGCAAACAAACATCACGCCCCAGCGGCTTCATTGGGAAAGATTTGGCCTTTGCCGAGGCTCTGCTTCGGTGGATGGACTACTCAGCGGAGAAAACACTTCAGATTCATAAATAAATGACCCCGCTATGGATCACAGTTGAAATATATCTCATGAAATATTTTCAAAGGTTAGCAGACTCATTATGTTTTTATTTTTTGATGATAAAAATATGATTTTTTTTTTAGGCCTCTTTTTAGTGGAAGTTTAAAGCAGAGTTTTATTATTCCAGAGAAGAAGTGAAGTTAATAAGTAATGACAACAAATGACTGCAAAGGTTAGACCGCTCCGAATATAGAACATCGTTGGATAAGATCCGATGTGATTTCACTCTGTAATGGGATGGATCACTGAGAACATGAAGAGCAACACTGGTGTGGTTAATGTTGTAAACAGCTTACCTTCTTTTGACAAATAGCAGATATCTCTGCTGCAAAGAAAAAGGAACAATAATGAGAAAGAATGCGCAGATAATAGAAGCATCTTTTGCAAAATGATATAAAGAACCTGTCCATACAGTGCAGCAGCTTTTACATGTCAAAACAACTCATAGCAGCAAAGAACTAATTCTATGCAATGTGTGTTAATATATAAAATGAATCAATCCACGACCAAAATCTCTCTTTTTCCCTTTTTCCACAGTGAATTAGGAAGATGCTCTTAAAAATATGAGCTCAGAAAACCTTCAGTATCAAACAGCATAGGAGTAAATATCTGTCTTTTTTGTGTGGTATGGACTACAGACTGAAATTCATGAATATTTTAACTCAAACACCTGTTTGGTTGTGAATGCTCACCTTGGGGCAGGAGTACATCAACAAGCCACTCAGCATGATCTCTGGAAAGGTCAAAGACAAAACGTTTAAACAACACATGATTTATAGGCAAAACGCTCCTCAGAGCCTCTACACACAATCCCACCTTGTGTACACACAGGAACACAAAACATCTCCCCTCTATACAAAACCTGCAGAGCCATGCAATTACAGTATCCTACGTGCTGGAGGAAAGAGACACCAGTGGATGCTCGGTTTTGTGATGATGATGATGATCTCATTATTGGCGCGAGGGAATTACGTAACCATGGCAATGTATTTCCCCTGGGTTAAAGAGTGGAATAATGAGGCAGGCAGTAGGTGATGTATGTTTGGAATGGCATCTCGCTGAAGGAGGGGGAGAAGTGAGGGATGGAGAGAGGAGGTGAAACAGATGCATACCCTGCTATCCTCTGGCTGCACTCCTCGCATATATAAAGAGGAGGGGGCTTGTCTCCCAGGGCAACGGAAAGAGTGGGATCTATGCACATCTGCAAAGGTAGCACAGGTAGAGTGAGTACATGGAAGTGGTACGTCAGAGATGAACATTTATTTTGATGCAAACGACCATTTCTGCTGTGAAAATGATTGAACATTATGCTTTAAAATATAACATTATTGGTGCAATTAGTTTTGTCATTTACGACCAAAAGGGCACAAATATTTCAAAACAGTGTTCTACAATTTAAACCTTAATAATTCATGTCATAATGACTTTCATAAATCCACAACATTGATCAATAAAAGGGAATTAGCAATTGCCAAAACTATAATGAGCATAAACAGCAAACACATTCTTGTATTCAGCTAGGATTGTACTGTTCTGAAAATGTTCTGAGAAAGTTCTGCAAAGTTCTAGTAACATTTTAAGTTTTCTTTCAGTTCCCAGAATGTTCTTCTTAAAACTATGATTAAATATGCTCTAAAAATGTTCTTATAACATTTTTCAAATGTTGCATACAGAGCGTCCTTCCTTAGTTGTCATGTAACATTGTGGGAACGTTTCTAGAGAACACCCCCAAAACATTGCAGGCAAAATGTTCCACCATTGTTAATATATTGAATTACAGGAAGGTTCATACACATCCTGTCTTCTGAGGCCTCCATAACGTCTTGCAAACATATTTTGAACGTTGGTTTGTTCCTTTTTTTTTTCGTTGTCTCGTAACATAATCTGACCACATTTTTCAAACATCCTCTGAATGTTAAAACGTTCTGTCGCAGTTCATTTTTAACCTCATAGGAGCGTTATTTGGAATGATAAATATCCTTCAAACAGTCTCAGATTAAGATGTTTTCTTTCAGACATTATGAGAACTTGTACGTAATGTTAGCCGACGTTGTGGGAACGTTCCCTGCTTCCTGGGTAACCAAATACTGAAGCTATTCATTACAGTCACTTTTCAGACGTTTAACTTTATTGCAGTTCTGTTTTCTGTTTGATTAAAGTCAAACTGAACGTTATATAAATAAAGAGCTTTCACATGAGAATCACTAGAAGCCATAAATTTAAACTACCGTCCATTCAGCAAACAGAGGAGTTTCTAACCTCTCAGCTTTTCTAAACCCTCCTCCGTCTAATCATTTTTGCACAGTTCCTTGGAATACACTACATCACCTGAAGCTTGCGTTTTCTATGTGTCCTATCTCGGGGCATCATGCTGCACCGTGGCCTTCCCACAGAAGTCACGTGACGCCTTTACCTGCCTCCCCACGCCTCTGCGTGGATGGCTGCGTGCATATGTCGCACTCCCCTTCTCCTACAACCTGTGCCTGGCCCTGCTCGAAACACAAATGCTCCTGGCCTCAATGTTCAGATGGTGCACTGTAATTTACTGTGCTCACTTGATGCCACCCTATCCTCAAGGGCTGCACGGGGTCACCGCTTCCAATTAAGGCCCCCTCCCCCCCATACCCCCTCCCTGCTCCTGGTAATTGAAATCCAAACCCCTGTCCGTGCTCCTGTTCTTACTCTATTTGTCAGTTTTGAGCACACTTGAGTAAAGGCAGGCCGCGCTGATTTAGCAGAGCAGCAGAGACTGGTGTAAAGTAGCATAGAAACTGATATCATTACCCCTCTCACGCGGCTGCACAGGCAACGCGCTGATTAATTTACCGAGGGGCTCGCAAAAGAAAACGCGGTTACAGGCGCGGTTGAACCCGGCAGCCTGGCTCAGGCCCCGCGTATTCCCGACAAACTTCTCAAGGGAACAACCTTCGGAATACAGACCGAAAACACAGTCTATCCTATTACAGTAACAAGGCACGGGGATGTCGGCTTGTTTAATGTATTTTGAAGACTGTAGTCACCTTGACAGCGGGTTTATTGATGGCGTTGTGGCACTCGATATGTTGACAGTGGATGGGATTCCAGGCTGGAAAAGAGACGGAGAGAAAAACAAAATGGTTGGTGGGTTAAACCTTGGGTCGGTTCAAGGACAGATAAAGCAGCAGATGTGGCGTTAGGAGATTCTGACCTGTGTACTGCAGCCCTCGGTATTCACTGATGGCTCCTGGGGGCTTCAGGTTGGGCCAGTAGTGAAACAGCATCTGCACAGCTGGAGGTTTTACTTGGGATGGACCATAGGATATGACATAAAGCAGGTCCTGCAGACAGTAAACGTGCATGAAGTTAGGAGACATTTGAGGATATTTGAATATTAGCAACTGGAAGGCAAGTAGTTGAAAGTCTTTACACCAATATAATTTCTACTGCGTCCATTTTGTAGACTATATGTTGCTTTAAAACTACTATGATGCTTTATATTGTCAGTTTTACAGTCAAAGGAGTGAAAAAAGTGATGGAAAAACACTTATTTTCGAGTTTCTTTAACTCATTGCGTGTCTGTGTAAGAAAAAAAAAGACCTGAAATGGAAAAAACGAGCTTGCATGCAACGTAAAAACAAGAAGAAGCAGTTTTAGGGTTATTCTGGGTGAGTTTTTATGTCGTGCTTTGGATTTTCTACGGTGTAAATTAGTCAGGAGTGCCGGTGGTTTCCTCTAGTCTTGCTGCTAAACTAATGGTCTGCTAGCTTTGTAGTTGGTGTTTAGACAGAAAAGCAAGCAAGCCGGACACATAATAATTCAAAATGCAACTTGCGCTTTACACAGAGGACCTTATGTCTGCGTTACGTATGTAAAGAGGAAATACCTTCCACACTTCTTGTTTGTGCTTCATTAGACACTCCAGCAGCTGACAGTGATAAACTAGAAAGGAAGCAGAGGCCAGATTAGATACAGAGCAGCTACTGGAGTTATATTTAAATGCATGATTTGAGAACAGTTTACCTGGATTTGATGTGTACTGCATCGCAATCATGAGCATCGACGAGGCGGACAGATTGACGTAGGCTGGGACGCCCCCCTCCCTCCGAGTGGAGCCCACTGCACATAAACACAATCACGCATTCTGTTTATCGCCGTAATAAATGCACAGAATATGGTATTTGCTTTACTTTCATTATTCAGTAGTTATACCACCACATAGATGGATATTCAGTGATACTCACATATAGCCATGGGGAGGAAAGAGGTGCTCAGGTACTCAATGATGTCTTTGTGGAGGAAAGGGGGAAATGTGGCTAAAGTGGAGATCATAGTATAGGGCAAAGTGCTGAGAATATCATCACTGAGAAAGGGCAGGAGGCATGTGGTTGTGTAAAATATGGACTGTCCCAGATCTGGTGAGAAAAGGAAAAGGCAAAAAAAAAAAAAAAAAAGACAGAGAGATACACAGACACTCATTCAATCAACTGCACATACAGTATTCACATACTGTATGCAGCCACAGAAGTTACATGAAATTTCAGTCATTTAACAGCATATAACAGTGGGGAAAGGAAAAAAAAAAAAAAGAGGAGAACATTTGGAATATGAGGGCTGTGAGCTTTCTTTAAAAGCCACTGAAGTAAAGTTTACCCTCAGGAAAAGTAGAGCAATCTAGTCGAGAGATGGGTTTTCATGCTTTTGAGCTTTTTTTAACAATGGTCAAAAATTCATGAAATATAAGAGCACTGAATTGTGATGCAGCCCTGGGCTCTGAGTGAGAAACTGTGCGGACACAAGTCATTCTCAGATGTGTTCTTAGCATATTTAAAAAAACAAACATTTTCTCATACGTGGTTCGACTTATATATTTTGCACATGACAACAGGAAGTAAAACATTTTCGTCCCACTTTGCATAACAAACATGCAGTCAAGTATGATACACAGAAGAGAAGGCCTATGTCTGGTGTGTCCAATGGCTTATGAACGATTAAGTTGACAGGATCCAGCGTGCTCCCAATCACCCCCATGCATCCCTCAAGATCCTCAGCGGGACTTCTCTCCTCCCGTTACAAAAGAGGCCAAAAAAGCAGCAGTGGCTTCATGCAGGCCAGACGGCTCGGGGATGATGATGACAAACAGTGGTGCACTGGGCCTTGACTCACCATGCTGACCGTGCTGCAGCAGGGGCACCAGGTCAAGCAGGGTCACGAGGGTCACATAGAGGCCCTGATAGTCCAGAGAGGGGTACTCTGAGAGCTGAGCGTCCCGACTCTGCTGCCCCTGCCCCCCGCGGTCTGACGGGGCATCGCGCAGAACGCTGTAAAGGAGGGAGCGAGTAACTGTAGGGTTGATGGAACTGACTTGTGGTCTTAGAGATGGGGTGAGTGGGAATGGCACAGGAAAAAGACACATGGTCATGGGCACGGCCAAATTGGAAGCTTCCTGGTTCTCCTTCCTGCCTGTGCGGGACAGAATGCTGCTCCGGGGCGGGAGGGGAGGGGAGGGAGGGTAGGAGAGGGGAACAAGGGAAAAAAAGAGACAACAAAGACACAAAAAAACAGCACATTACATTGAAATGGCACTACAGAGACAGCGTAAATAGAAAAAAACAAACCCAGATAAACCCCACATAGGATGCAGTGTCTCACTAGTTGACTGTATCACTGAAGGCACGGGCAATTTTTCCCTGCTTTGTCTGTTCAGAGTGGCTGGAAGTTCAATTTATCTCGTTTTGTCTATCTTTGCACTTGGAAAACAAAAAAAACATGAGCACAAACTGCAATGATCACTGCATCTCATGCGTATCTGGTGACAAGGAGCAAAAATATAAAAAATGGCATGTTTTCAGTGGCAACCCCATACTTCTCCAAAAAGGGACAGCGCAAAAAGACTGTCCCTCGATGGCTGCCATCATCCAATCAGCAAGGTCAGCGGCTACCATGCGAGAAGAAAAAAAAAAGAAGGCCAATGGGCCGTGGAGTACATTTTAAAATGAAATTTCCTTGTCTTTTCGTGGGGCTGTCAAGGATGGGAGTGACACCAAATTGGTTCGGGAAAATACAGAGGTGACACTTTTGAAACATGCTTCAGCCAGTAATAAACATGTGTGTGAGGTTAGATCAAGTGCTCCTAGGTCACAGCACATGTTTATTGCACCAGAGAAATAATGTCCGTATGCATACGTTATGATACTGTACCAGTATCATCAGGAGAAATAATGAGATCCAACAGGCATATGGATTCAGGTTTCTAAAATAAATGTAACAACTAATCTACGGTAGAGGAAAAACTATAATGACAAAGGAATAGGTTGTATCAGGGGGGAGATGACTGGTAGCATTATGTTTGTGAGCTAATGCAGGATGGACAATTGTGTTTGCTGTCCCCTGGGGAAGGTGGTGGACATATTCAATTTTGAGAGAGGAAAAACAAAAGGAAAAAACTAGTCGGGGTTGAGTGTGGAGCATCTAGGGTGGAGGAGGAAGGAGGGGGGGGCCAGAGAGCATTGCTCTTTTTACTGCACAATATTAAAGAGCTAAGCTGTTCTATCAGGCAAATGATTGGGATTTATCATGAGCGCCCAGATTATAAATGCTGATGTATTGGCTTGTCTTTTTTCTTTTTTTTTCTTTTTTGTTTGCAAGGTCAGAGTTACAGCATTTGGAATTACACGGCAAGTGACAAAGGGGATTTCGATAAAAATAACTTTAACATGTTGAGTTCATATGTCAACAGCAGAACGTACCATTATGTGAGCGATCCCCTCAAAGTTATACTCTGTAAGAGTTTAGTCGTGGATAAAGCTGCGTTATTAGACAGCGTGGACTCAAACAGGGCTAATGCAACGACAACAGACCTCAGAGTATGACTTTTTCACTGCCCAGTTTTTCATATAAATATATATAGAAAACATCATTAATTTGAACAATGAACACAGACACAAACAGACGCACTCACACGCATACACTGAACACGCAAAGACACACGCATATGTCCACACGCACACGCGCACACGGACGACACGGAAAAATTACGGGAATACACGACACATAAAACACATGTAGAAATGCACTGGTACAGACACATGACATACATTTACTGTCCAACCTCATTGACTGTGTGTGTGCCAGTAATTCAAAACACATTCAGACTTCCTAGCATGTGTACAGGTGTGCAAAACAAAACTAATATAACGTCTAATGGAGGATTTTTCTGCAGTCGTTCTCAATACGGTTTGAAGTCAGCGAGGCTCACTGATGCAGAGAGCTCAGGCTGACGAAGCTGTGCCTCATCTTTAAGGAGGCATGTATAATTGCTGGTAAATAGAAAACCATTCTTTGTTTTCTCTTCTGCATCTGACCTGTGCTGAACCTAAAACTGGCGTATGAATCAGCAACCACCTCCTTTGGCCATTTCAGCTTTCTTTTCCAGGAACATGACACATGCCTGCTCCACTTTTCAAGGCTCACTACTCCCACTTTCTTTCTTTCTTTCTCTCTCTATCTCTTTTCATTTCTCTCTTTCTCCTCACCCCGGGCTTCACAAGGCACAGGTGTATGGATAATCCTGAGGTCCCTGCTGAGGAAACCAGACTCCTCTAATGGTGGGCAGAGCGATTTGTTCTGCATATCCGAGGCTAAGAGACCGTGCTTTCGGGAGAATATCGCCAAACTGGTAACAGTGGCATCATGGCGAGTGATTCTTTTCTCACTCCGATGATACTGCCCCTCAAGAGACAAAATCGTCACTTGAAGTTTACGCAGATTCCCACAGTTGCGGCCTACTGTCACGCTCAATCTGTGCCGTGTTTACGGTGAAAGCACAGTGACTGGTGGCTGGTGCCGGACAGCCCTAAAAGCATTCTGTGAGCAACACTCAGCAGAGAAATGATCCTCGTGGGGCTGAGGAGTAACGTGTAGCACTGAGGCTGGCTGCCAATCTTAAATAGATTGCACCCTAAGCTGATAATAATGTTAAAAGTGGGGCACACTAGTTCAGCCTCCAGTAATCCCACCCCCTTCTGTGAATTAGCTAATAAGAGAGGGCATATTTACTATGACTAAACCAACCAGAAATACCCTATCACATTGAAGGCCTCAACTGGAGGAAAAAGACAAATTATTAAATTAGATGTGTGCAAAATGGCTGCCTACTTGACCTGTGCTGGAGGAGGAAATAACATGCTGTTCCTTCCTCAGGCTTTCACAACACCCAGGAGAGAAGGCTGACCCTGCAACTGCATAGCCGGAGGAGCTGCCCTCCGCCAGCTCCCTTTGGGAAGGACACAACAGGCCGCCCCAGGGAAGCGCTCATCCAGCAGCCGAACGCTGAATCAATAAACATCGCCGAGACGTCTATGTGGCGCTACTGCTTTAAAACAACACCAACAACTCCTCTCTAGTCTCTCGTCTTCTCTGACTTGCTCCTGACATCTTAAATTCACACGAGACGTTTAAATGGTGTCACTGTCATCCCTTTCAGAAAGTGTGTCAGAGCGTCCTGCTGTAATTAATCTCATCTGATCATGGAGGAAGCTGAATATCAAACAATTCTACAGTCTGTTACTTCACCTGACGGCTCCAGAGCGGGGTACTTACCTGAGCAGGGTTTGGGAAAAGTATTTCAGTGTGTTTGCAATGTCTGTTCCGGAGGGCACGGGGTAAATATTGTGTTGCACACGGTTGTGATACTCTTGCAAGTATCGTATCTTAGAGGCAACTAGACAAAATAAAGAGCAGAGCAACAAGCATGTCAACACCAGTGAGATTGTTGCACGAGGCAGAAATAACAATCTAAAGGAAAAGCAAAAAAAGAAAAAACATCTGACACAGGACTGAACATGCATGAGTCTAACTCGACTGTTTGTTGCTTCTGTTGCGAGAGATTTGGCAGAAAAAGACACGGATGCTCCAATTATCAAGTCAAACAAAGAGTCTGTGTTCCCATGGCTCTCTGGCCTTCACCGGGTGACCTTTTTGGTACAGCAGCGAGGTCGCAAAGAAGCCCTGGAGGAGGGAGTAACCTACTGCTTACAGAAACAAACTCGTGTACAAAAGGTTGCCGGTTCAAGTCCCAAGACAAGCTGGGAGAAATGTGGTCAGCGCGAACGTGAGAGAGGGTTAACTCGTCCATTAACTCGTCGTGCTGAGGAAGATTTGAACCCAGCTGGCTGCTCCCTGTAGTTTTAGACGTGCTGTATTTTTATTTTATTTTTTTTAACTGGTTGAGTTAAAATAAGTTGGAGTGTGCGATCGCTGACCCATTTTCTGTGACTTTGGGCAGTTGTGTTTAGCTTCCTCTCTGACCTGTAAATGACAAACCCCAAAAT